CACAGGCTATGCTCCGCACCACTTTGATGAGGAGGTGAGTGTTGTGTGACTTTGTAATTAGTCAGCAACTAAGTTTCCACACTGTTGTGATCAGTGCAAAGCAACGGCACGCCTTGCATGAAAGTAGAGAGCGATTTGATGTTGGAAGTATGATTAAATCTACATTATGCTCAGTCGTTTAGTAAAGGGTAGGGCCTAGTGATAGCCGTCATTGTTTTTGTCTTGAGCTCTGTCCGCAGGTCAAATCTCAGCACATAGTTGAAGGCATTGTCCTGTCCATGGTTGGTTTGTATTGAGTGGTTTTGTTGCTAAGCCCAATTTCAAACAGTGGTTGTTAAGGTCTGTTAATGTTATCGGCAGGCGCCTTCTTTGTGCCTTACTTACCACAGTCAGAGGCTTGTTCATGCGTCCGCGATAGGCGATAGGTGTGTGTTATTTACAAGTTCTGCCGACCATCACGTCGATGGTGTTGTTTGCAGGCTTGGCAGACGAAACTGCGATTGGAGCGAAGTCTTGCAATCAAGTGTCCCTCGATTGATTATCTGTTGGCGAACATGAAGTTGGTACAGACCGCTCTCGCCGCCGGTTCGACGTCGTTGTCGCGTTTTGGAGTCAGTGTAGGGACGGCGGAGCGTCTGGCGGCCGCTTTTGCGCGTCAGACGGTGCTCTCGACGGACTTTAATTTTGCCGACCCAGTGGTGATAGAGAAGATGGTGGATGAGTGTCGTCGAGGGCCGGACAAGTTTGTTCTAAAGCCACAGCGTGAGGGTGGTGGGAATAACGTCTTTGGAGGTGAGACGACGGGCACTTGTTTAGTGACTCTGTGATGGGGGTGAGTGAAAGTCTGTAGGCAAGTCCTGTTTATGTGAGGTGGAAGGGTTGGGCGACGGCGATAGGGGTCAAGTAGTCTCGCTGTGCAGTATTCTTGTGGTGGAGATGTTTTTAAATTTAGTGTTAGTGTGTTGGGAGGACGTTTGGCGGGAGGAAGACAGTGGCGAGGAATGAGGGTGTGTTAAGCTGAGGCGAAGCGGAGATTGCTCTGGTGCCCTCAAACCGCATTTGTTTCTCTCATTGTTTCTGAATATTTTGTTTGAGCAGTTGTCGTGTGATTTCTGGTGGCGTGTTGAAATTGGGGATGTTAGGGCGCAGTTCTATGGAAGTAGCTGTGGGTTTTGGGTGGAGGGTGGATCACTGTACCGACACTGTTCGAAGAGGGTATTTGGCGGAGCTTTACAGTGGGCGTGGGGTGAAGCGTTTGAAGGGGCTTGAAGCAGGATTGCACAGTCTTTGTTGGGGAAGTTGGATAGAGTAGCCTGTTATGGTGTTTTCCGGGTATTCGTAAGTGACATGTTGGTGAAAGCAGAAGGTACCATTGGATTGAATGTGCTATGCATCATGGGAGTTTGGATTGGTATGATGGGTGTGTAGCCAGTGTGATTGATGGCGTGTTTGTAGTGGGAGAGGTTGGAATGGTTGGAGTGGACTTCAAGAGGGGTGTTTTTTGCATTGCAGAGGACATAGCACGGAAGTTGGACGAGGTGATGGGGAAGGCGGAGGCGAATGCCTACATCCTGATGGAGAGATTGGAGCCACCGGTGGTGGAGAATTGCGTAGTGGGGATGGAGTGTGCGTCGCCTCTGCGGTGTCAAATGGTGTCGGAGCTGGGCATCTACGGTGTTCTGCTGAGGTGAGTGTGATGGACTGTGGGAGGGGTCTTGTAATGTGGAAAGTAGACGGTGCGCAACAGCAGTGTTGCACCGTAATCGACGGGACTGGGCTCAAAGTGTGGTGGGAATAGAGGCTTGGGAGAGGAGGAGGAGGAAGAAGAAGAAGAAGAAGAAGAAGAAGCGGTGCTGTCATCTCATCATTGATGAGTTGTATAGACTAGTGAGGTGGGTGGCGCATTTCATCTGCGTTCCTTCACAGTGTTTTTCTTTGCTCCCCTTTTGTGTTTAAAGCCGAGGCACAGAGGAGTTGGAGAACCATGAGGCGGGTCACCTGCTGCGAACCAAACATTTGGGCGTCAATGAAGGCGGTGTGGTAACTGGGTTCGCCAACCTTGACAGCCCTCTTTTGATCTAACCTCTCCGACGTTTCCTCCCTTGTTTCCTAGCGTGCAATTATTTTGCGAAATTTATTGTTCTTTCTTCTGCTTTTGAGGATTTATCTTCCTTTTTGCGTCAAAACTTGTATGGTTTAGTAGTCGAACAGCACAGAACTTAATCTTTTGTCTAGCATTCTATTTCTATAGCTCAGCCAGTCATTTTTAGAGTGCAGTTTCGATGTTGCTTCTACATGTGAGTTGTTTGACTCCTTTTTATAGTTAATTGCATTTTATTTGTGTAGATAGACTCGGAGAATGATAGTTTTTGTTTGCTAACAAATGGCTTGTTAGTGCTCTTTTGCATGAGGCGCGGCTTTTTATGGTGGCTTTAAGTGTGTATCAGTAGCATATTAATGGGTTAGAATGTGTGGACAATTTTGGCACTGTGACATTTACGAGTACAGCGTCATCATCCCTGTGTAATTGGTATTGCTCGATGTCTGAAGAATGATAGTACTGTGAGGCAAATTGCAACAGTTGCAGTCTTTTAAATGCTTCACATCAGTGCGCTAAGGTTGAAGGAAATACGCAAGTAAATCGAGTCAAACGAATTAGTCACTATGCTTTGAATGTTGGAGGTTGTGTCTGTGCCATTGCGGTCATCAACCTAATCAGGTCGCTTATACGTCCAACCGGACGATGAGTCACTCGACGTGTGGAATTGGGACGCATTCTCGGAACGAACAGGTCCCGTACCACCTGCTGTGTCTGTTTTACATTACTAAAGTTGATTAAGTTAGACGGTAGCAGCACTGTTCCTACTGGTTTGACTACCCTCTCCTTTTATCCGCCCATCACACATCCATCCTGCGGCTCTATGGTCATTACTCATTATCTCCTCTACGATGTCCTCCAGCACAAGAAGGTTGGCTGGTTTGTGACTTATTTTCCAAACTCACGTAAGCTTACCGCAGCATCTAAGGGAGGAGGGCTAGGAAGAGGATTTTAGCGTCTTGAGAATGGGCTCAAATCCGGTAGTGCGCGGGGTTTGGGCAGCACCGCCTCGGATACGGCTCTAGAGGGTTGTTTTTAGCCACGTAATCAAATGGTTTTATCACTATCTCAATGACCTTGTTGTGTCTAACCGATGGGTTGACTTTATAGGATTTTATCTTTTAGTAATGAACGTATTTTTTGCTGATCAACGATCTGTGAGATGCGAAAGTGTTTACTATTGGGAACAGACATCTAATCTAAGAGAGGTAGGAGTTGCGAGGATTTTTAGGTGGAGGAATTGGTGGGTATGTTTGAACAGGGTCTCCTTCGACTGTTTGTCGTAATACTCCTTCTGTCCGCTTTTAAGACGTAGTACGTACTCTGGGACATTGTCGGACACTGCTTTGTTTGACAGAAGGATATTAGAAGAGACTCATTGCATGGTCTGTAAGCACCTTGGGGGGTGAGGCTCCAGTCGATCTGCAGACCGTAGCTCTCAAACTTCAGGCTGTGCTTCCTTATTGAGAGCCTTTGATAGTCCAATGGGGGTGCCATTTTCCCTTCCTACAGTCTTTTGTGAGTAACTTGGAGATCCCAGAGATCTTTTATGGCTCGATAAAAGTTGGTTTTTGAAGTGAAAATCTTGATCACTATGGTCCGATTCGGCCCCGTCTTACTGACAGGTGCACCAATTGGACTGTCTCAGTGCCTTGCGACTTCAAGGGTTCTGCCTCAATTACTCTCGTGAATTAGTTAATCATAACCTTAGTACATATTATTTCCCTCTTTGTGATCGATAGTTAGTCCATATTTTTCATGTCAACTCTTTTCTCGAGAACTCCGTAGGCATGAGTAGGCATGTGATTGATGTGGACTAAGGATTTCTAAAAGTGGTTATGATAAATTTGTAGAGTTGGCGGACGCTTAGCATTTCTGAGTTAGATGGGGGTCATCATCCTCTTCTCCTAGAGGCTTCAACCACCTTCCCATGCATATGACCCTGTTGGCTCAGTTACGTCTTGAAGAACTCTCTATAAAGTTGCCCTTTTTTGTTGTGGTGACACTGTAAGCAGCGCATCCGCATCGCTATTGCATACTTCATTTTCTTTGCCGAACCTGAGAGTTGTGTGACACTTCCTCGTACCAAAATGAAATTGGATGGTTGAGTGGACTCTTAGTCACCCACTCGCACTATAACCTGTCTTGCCATCAGCCAGTGTCAGACCGCTGCATGAGGAGTGAGCCACTCACGAGCCCTTTTTATTTTCGGCCGCATTTTTTGGTTGAATCTGGTACTAGTGTAGTCTTTTTCAAAGTACACCAATCACAGCTACAACACTCGCGTCCTCTTCCATTACAAAAGGTATGGAGTTAACTGTCAAGTTTGGCATTGCTAGGAGCGATGCGTCTGCTTCACCTCTTTAAATGCCCTGTCATATTCATTTACTCACTTGAAATTAGCGCTTGTGATCTTGGCAAAAACCTTCAAGAAACTTATGTATTAATTTGAGGATCCAAGGGAAGTGTGAAGATCCTTTTTTATGATGGGTGTTGACTAAATTCGCTAGTTTCATGTGTTTAGCAATCGCCATTCCTTCTGCGAAGACTGTTCCAGACGGAAATCTGGACGTAGAGGGCGACAGCATTTATTCCACTTGAGGGTTTAACCAGCAGCTCCTGGATGTCTCCACAAAGGACGTGGTTGGTAATGCGGTGTTATGCTATTTGCAGAGTCATAAAATTCAAAGAGCATGGCACGGAATTTTCAAACTTCGCTTGGCATCGCCGAACTTCGTTTACTGTCTGTTTATTTATATTTTTTAAGGGCCCCTTCCGGACCATCTCTTAACCATATGATTTAGTTCTGGCGAAGGACGAAGTATGCTCCAGAGCAGTTGTTGTGTGGATCTACCTTCGTCGAATTTACCTCTTGTGGTTAACTACTTTTGCCGTAGGCGAAGCGCCTTTTGTGTCTGTGAGGAAAGTTGCGGTCTTGAAATGAGCAACATAAACATAATCAGCGTTTCGTTCAGGTCGGGAGGCAATTGCTTGGACATTCGTAGTTGGCTATGTGGCAAAAATACCCACGGCGAAATTAAAGGTCGATTTTGCCTTACAAAGGAAATCGACTATTTCTAAGAATCACATAAAATCGCCCTCTCCAAACTCCTTTTCCTTCAGAGATCCCAATTGTTGACTCATTTTTTGCTATGATCTTCTTTTGCACCTCTTTAACGCAATCTTTAGAGGTGCAATCATAATCCTGTTGTGAAGGTTCAGTACAACTTGCACTTTTGACATTGACTTGGCTTCACTAAAGTCATGAGAACGTCGTACAATGGTGCCTCTAGTTTGTTTGGGACTCAAGAAAATGTGTGCTAGCCATTTGTGAGTGGACGCGAGAAGGGACCATCTGGAAATGTTTCGTTTCGAAGTTTATCCTACGGCATCCACCTTTATACTGACGCCGATGGCAGTAGGTTGAATCTCTTTCGCGAAGGCTATGTTTAGTCTCTTTTCCTCTGTTATGAATATATTTTTGATCAGTGTTCTAACTGTCAACCGAGGTACCCGCCTCTGATTCCTGCTTTCAAACCAAACATAAATCGAAATGGAGTTGAGTGTATTGAGAGGGTGAAATACATGGTGTCAGTCTCTTGAGGGTTGATTATCTGCTCGGCTGACTCTTGGGTGCTATCTGGCGACAACTGATGTGTAGTCGTGTGGCAGTGTAGTACCCTATGGGTAGCGATCACTTTGGTATAAAAATCTTTTTCTCGGTAAGCTGGCCTTTGATCCAAATCAAAGCGCTCGTCTTCCCCATCTCTCAACGCAAGCAAACATGCTTGATGTTGCTAAATGGGAAATCTTGAAGTATTACCGTGCCAAACACAGCTTTCAGAGTGGTAGGAAAATTATAAATGAGACTCCTCGATAGCCGATGAGAGGTTTGGCAAAGGTAGAAATTGGGTCTGTTGTTACCACGATCGGATTTTAAGAAGCAGGGGAATATGGCGATTTTTTTGATTACAATTAAAAGATTTTAGAATTCCACGCAGTCATTTGAAGAGGAGGGTCATCGGGTCCAACTTCATTGCGGGCATTTATCTACTTCGCCCCACCTTCCACACCTTTAACTGCTGCAAAGAATATAATTAATTTGGGCAACTTAAAAGGAATTTGTACAAATGGAAATAGTGACGCAGCGCTACGCATTAAGCTCATTTTAGTGCGTAAGAGTTGGTTGAAAAGTGCCTGGTATGCAAGAAGCGGAAAGTCCTTTACAAAGCCTTGCCCGAGGAGTCAATAGTCCTCATTGCCGTATCCATGTAAGCACCTCTTTTCCCTTTTGCTTGCATTATGTATTGTGCCTTGTACGCGCCGCCGGATGAAGTTCGTCTAGTTAAGTGGCTTTCTGGGAAAAGAGTTCTAGGGGACTCAGATAGTGCTAATTTGGAAACTAGTACTGCCTCTTTCCTTTTTGCCAAGATATACTTAAGTACGCATGGAATATACTTTCTAATGTGAGAGGATTTAGGTAGCTACAGTGGTTAAACTTGATCCTAAACCTAAAAGTTGTTTAAATTCTTAAGCACAAGAGTTAAGTCCTAAAGCATAAACATTTCACCAATATTCTGTATTGAATAATAATGCTAAAGGTAGAGTTAGTCATTATTCTAAAAAGCTCTATACTTAAGACCGTTTAAGCAATTATTGCTTAACAAAGTTTGAATAGCTACATCCTCAGCGTGTTTAAGTCGATCTCTTTAAGGTCGTCAATCCTAGTGTTAACCGAACTGGGTTGTGTCTTACGGATGTGTCGTACGGATTTTCACTTCAAAGATCGGACGAATATCGTTCCCTTTTAGAACCAGGGTTGGAATAACGATTTCAGGCTGGAGTCAGGGCGTACTGGTACTGGACCATTGTAATTGCGTATGTAATTTGTCAGAATTAAACGCCAGTCTCCGTATATATTTGCCTGTCTCGTGCATACAAAAGAGCAGTAAAAGTACTCTTTTAAGGTGCAAATAATACTTTCAGCACATCGTCCATTACTGAATTAGCATCGGAAAATCACATTCGCATACTCATCTCGTTTGATCGGCTATAACGCCAGTGGGAAACCTCCAAATTTTTCAGGAAACGAAGGTCTTGTTCTTGACAGTGAGCCCATAGAAATTTCCAGGTCGTTGAGTAACGAGCTTAACCCAAAGCTTTAGCCCCAAGACTATTTTAATCAGGGAAGCATTACGTTAACACAGGTAGGCATACAGCAAATAAGTAAAACGATTAAGCTAAGATTTGATGGAGGAGTTTGGGTAACAGTGTAGGGATTTAGTCGCATCTGACGGATTTCATGTTGTTATGTGTCGATAAACAATATGCAGTGATATTTTGTGAATCTTTATTGAGTAAAAAAGCAGTAGAGTCCTGGAATATAGGTTTGTAATAGTTTCTACACCTATTCTCTACGATAAGCGTAAAGCATTGAGTTCGGTGATGTTGCAGAGGTTGGGTGTTGTCGCCAACTTGGCGGCTGATGGGCGTTAGTGTTCCCACTTGAGGCGTAGGTTCCACTGTCTCCATCCCCAAAGGTGCCATCGTCTGTCAGGGGCTCCTCTCTGAGCGGACTTAACTGATTGCCTGTGGATCCTCTACCTGAGTAGATGTTTGTGTTACCAATTTCAACGGTCTAAATGAATTATCCAACGCATTTAGTCAACATCTTCCCAACTTCAGAATCCCACCTTTTAACAGTAATTGAAGTAACGTAATTGTAAATTTGTACAGTCATAATTACAGTTGTAACACCTCTGCATCAAAAATTATATAAGTAGTAAAATATAGTAGGGTTAGACTATTTGACTGTCTTTAAAGATAAATCGGTAGATGTATGTGGATTCCTTAACCCAGTTCCCATTTAGGTGGAGATCCAATAAGCATACAGCAGGCTCGTCAAATGGTAGAAGTACAAATTAAATTTCGTCAATAATTCCTGTTTTGATTTCTGAGAAAAGGAAATAATCCATGTTACTAGTGAATGAGCGTGAATACTTAAATAAGCAACCATAAGCAACAAAGGTACCTTTGTTCCATAAAAGTTTTGGTGCTATTTTCAAGAAAGGAGCAAGACTTCGACCCAAACGCGGTGTGAGGACAATTCTGTACCCCAACAAAACAAGTTGATAGGTTATTTGTTGCATATAATCCTTCGAATCTTTCAAAAATTTGAAGCCAATTCATAGTAATCAAGCAAGCGAAGCCTTCCAATGGTTTTGTATCAGAACATAATCGTGCTTTCCAAGCTACATATTGATAACCACAACCTATTTTCCATTTTTTCATAAACTACCTGTGTGGGTTCATCGCCAGGAGCTGGAACACTGACAACAACGCCACCAACCATGCGAGGCTGACTGCCGAAGATGCTGCGAGTAAATAGCGCTGATGGCTGTGGTCCAGTCAGATAGGTGCCAGCAGCTAGAGACCGAGCCCCAAACTGACCCTCAATCGCTTCGTAGTGCTCCACTTCCCTCTTTCATAGTTAAGAAAAGGTGCAAAAGAAAATTTGACAAAACTGAGGGTGTCACTGTAAATTATCGACTCCAAAATAGTATATTAAATTTGAATTATGAAGGTTTATCTTACATTCCTATCAACAGATTAAATACAGCCATTAAAATAAACAAGAAACTTTGTCCTTTATGGTTCAACGACACGACATCACGGGCTCCTCAACTCAATCCCTGAATTTTAGAACCCAATCGTAATAAAACATCAGTAACAATCATAAAGTAAAAATCCCATAATCGACAGCGCGACAAAGATTACCTGAGCAGCTCTGTCAGTATAGCTTACACAGCACAAAAAAGCCGCAGAAATAAATGAGGAAATAGTTGCCAAGATTAAAAATCCAAAAGACCACGAAAGAAACATATGGTCTGGTCTTTGCATCCACTTGCGATTTTGTGAATTTACTCCGAAGACAATCAATGATATCGACAACAATAGTCCGATGAAAATCTAGTTAAATTGAGTGCATATGAATAGAGAAGAGATATTATGGTGACTCGAGTTTTCAAAATACAAAGAGCAACAATACTATCGGGAATAAAATATCACAAAAAATTAACTTCAAAAAAGGCAAAGAGCAATAAAAACGAAAGATATTTAATAAGTTCGACGATTTCCGAGTACACACTTAAAAGCAACATTCGAAATACAAATCCACAAATTAATTTTGAGAATGCCAACTGTTCCGTAAAGTAATGATATTACCTGCAGGCCACAAACAATTGTGGATTCGGCTGCTGGTTGGCCATAAAGCAGGAAGTAAAGGATAAGAATCAGGACCGAGATCAACTCAGAAACAAAAGCGATAATAATTAACGTCTGGATAGCAACGAGCCAATATGGATTGAGCCATTCCCATATGCCTATTTGAAAAAAGAAGCGATCATATATCCAGTAGCATCCAGTGAGTTCGTTAGCATGAAAATCCTTTGCGAATTATGTCGATTTATTGCATGACATTACTTCAGGCAGGATGAATTTGTTAAAGCATGCAGACCAAATCCCCAACTGCAAAAATGAACTATGTACATAGTCGTATGATTCAAGCCAGTATGGACTTGAAAACGAAAACAAGAAAAGAATGAAACCAGCAGCCGTGAAACCGCATGCCGCATAAAACGGCATGTACATTCTCGTCAGCCTTTCCTTTTCACTCATATTGGCAAGTGATATCAAAATAGCGCTGCCTCAAATGTAAGCAAAGTGGTTCGTTAAAGGCATGGCCTTGAAAATTTATTTAATTTTAGATAACATAATACTAGGAAGGTTCTGTCCGGTGAAATAAATTACTTTGACACAAGCTGCGCTGCCTGTGATCTTCGAGATGAAAAGCAGGTTTTCCTAATTTGCAATTTAAGTAGAGACCGGTGCCCTTTTTGTTTCAGAATACCAACTGTGTTGAACATCAAACCAGTTTCTTCATGTTAATTGAACTCTTTAAATGAATTTTGTAAATGTTTCGTCTAGGCATCTTTTTAGGACGTTCCGATTTTACTCATACATGCGATACGCCGACAAGTTTAAGTGTCTCGAATTTACTCGGGCTGTAGATATCAATAAATGTGTGTTCATTGCTTTAAATTATACATTGATTTTACTAATGTGTCAGATCGATGTTTTCCACGCAGATATTACTGCTACCGAAATCTATTTGCTTGCTAAAATAACCTAACCTGTTTAACCATTTACTGGATATTGGCTGAGCAACTGGTTGGATCGGTGTTTGGAGTATTCATCTGGCTCGAATGGATATATTCCTTCGTTCTCTGATTCCTTGCGTGATATTCTCTGAATAATCTCCCTATATATCCTTTACCTTGCTAATACTTTGGTATTCTTGTCGCCCTTCGACTCCTTATTTTCATACGTATCGTTATCATATTCTCTTTGATAAGCGATGCGTTCCACTATAGGCTCACCGCGCCCAGCTCTTTGTCGAAATTTTCGCGGCATATTTTTGACGCGCTCATGGTCCAGTCTGGCTGTTTACTTCTTCTCTGAGTTTTTTAATCCCCTTCAGCCACATATGGTTGCTGTTGCTGAGGGTTTGCGCTCATGTCATGACTTTGGCCATTTTTCTTCATATGCAAAGACAATCGTTGTGTCAACTATGGTGATGCGCTCAGCTGTAGCAGGTCCCCTCTATGCCCTTACTGAAAAGAATCATGCCCTTGTCATATCTGCTTACTACCAAAGCGCTGTGGAAGCATCGAACCCTGTTTCTTCTGTTCGTCTAAAGGATGGCAGAATTGATGCCAGGTTACAGCGGTCGCTGGTAATTTGCATTTATTATCCTTCTACAAATTGGTACTACCGTTTTCTATGGCTTTTCTTGCGTCTCCCCGTCTTTGATTGCGCAAATGATGTTTGAATACCTCATTAACACAGCTGTTAAAATGGATGAGTTCTGACTGCTCTTGTAGTAACCAATCGATTTCGCTTTTATTAAGTTTCAAAGGACTTTTACTCAAAATTGTCATAAACTGCGATGCCATCCCTCATGGTCTGCTCTTTATGGGATGGTTCAATTGCCTATTTGGATGATAATGACGTTCGGATTGAGAAACGCTTGTGGGCATAAGATTACTCCTTTCTTGTGTAAGCCTTGTATTTTCTCAATTTTAACATGATAAATACGCATAGTCTGACTCCATGCCGGATATCCACAAGAATAACGTACTTCTCTTTTCTAATAGATTGGCCTCCAATGATTCCTGAGTTTTTAACAGAAGGGCTATCCTCACCATCTACATCTTTGTGCCTTATTGCAGCTACGACCTTTGCGACAGGTCTCAATGTTGAAATTACTCATTTGAAACGCGTTTATGCGCAAACATCGACTACTGTAGTGACGTCTGATCCTAAACTTGTGAACCAGAACCGTATCGCAAATGTGATGCCCGCTCGCATGCCCTGGCAGTTGAAATTCGCCCATAGAGTTGGTCATTTAGGCACGATACTAATTGCCCTCTTTTCCCCATTCGCACCGTCTGTAAGTTTACACCTTCCGACACCCGTGCATCTGCTAATCCCCAATAATTAATTGTGTCACTTGATTTGAAGGCTCTCGTAATTTTCTGGTGCTCGTCGGCGTCACACCAATTGGCACTACACCTCCTCTTTCTCAGCAATCGAGTCCGAGGCGTCCTGGGCATCAAGAAAACTCCCGTAGACCCAAAGCGTCCGTACTTTGCTCTCTGGCAGATCGCCAAGTCTCACTACCGCGTCCTCCAGCTGATCAGTAACCGAAGCTAACCTTCAGGCTCATGGTCTGTATAGATTGTATGAAATACACTTTTGATGAAATCATGGCTATCAAAATACCGCCGACAGGAAGTTTCCCCGTCTGTTGATAAAATAAGCGCTGTAGCTATCAGTCTGACGCACGATCAGAACACCACTTCTAGCTCTAGCACATAGACTGGTTTCACTCACCCTAAAGTTGGTGTTGAAATTTCCCACAGAATATTACCACTAGCAAAACAATACGAATCATCACCTTCAAAGTTAAGTATGACTGAAAGGCCTGGTGCAGATTCGGCAATTCGTCCGTGCCACTGCAGTCATTAAAATGTGTGCAAGAGTTGACATTACTTCATTGGCGTCGTGAACTATAAAACAGCTACGGCTGGATAAATCAGGTTTGGTTTTATACAAAAAGTAGAAATATTAAATAGGAGTAGTACTCATAATTCTGCTTTCAGCGAAAAAGTACCACAAATGCGTCAAGTGCATGGACGATCCCGTTCGTACGCGAAGCGCTGTAATACAAGGAAGAGATAACTTACACAGATCACTCATACAGCTGAAAAGAGAAAGCAATAGCATATAACATACTTCATGACGCTATTCTTGAAATCAGCTACTTGTTCCTCTGTTGCTTGCACCAAACCGTCAGCCCTAACCACTGGCAGACTTGACAAGGCGCAGTCCATCCATCTGGCGAAGATCTTAAAGACAGAGGTTGGGTTAAAAGTTGGGCTGGCCAAGCACACCCTAGAGGGCGCCCAGTGCTTGTGCTCTCACCTCCCTAGGCATAACTAGTTTCAGGTGATAGAGGAGGTCGGCCATATCGGGGAATCGATCGTCCGAAAGGCCTACACAGCAGCTATGGATACAGGAGGTAGTGAGCCGTTGACCACCGCAACTTTCGGACGGTTTGAGAAGCCAGAAAAGCAATCGCCTTGCCCCCAACCCGCCCTCGCATGTAGGTTGAGGTAGTCTGGAGGCGTCGGTGGTGGCAACAACCGTTGCCGGTGTGTCCTCTGAGGCCTCCGTGGTAAAGATAAGAGCCTCCAAAAGAAACCGTGCCGCTGCAGTACTGGCTGAGGAGGTGTTTTTCGAGTCCCCGTTGCCAACAGCTTGACCATTTTCCACGTCCGTGTGGCCAGAGCCGGCAGCGGTAAGAGTGAGGATGTCAAGGGACTGCAAAGCAGTGTCCAGCAGGGAGTACAGATCCACGTTAGGACTGGCGAGAAATGTGGCCGCGCAACGCTGCACCAGACGCACACATAGACGGTAGAGATCTTCAATTGTATGCGGCTGTTCGACCAGGTTGCAGGATAGGGACGCAAGTGTGGGCGGAGCTAGAGCCTTCAAACCGATATAGAAAATTCACCTCGTGGATTTTTGAATCAAGAATACTAAATGTCTGCAAAGAAGTGAAATTATCCTGCTAACAGTGCGGAATTACGCAAGGCAGGTAAATAAACTAGATTAATGCATCCCACAAACAATTTTTTTATTGTTCCGACAAGTTGGGTGACTAAGTTTGATGCAATGAGAAGGAAGCGCTAAGTTACCTCAAACAGTCCAACAAGGCCCGGTCGGCAGTCGGGAAGCTCGCCAAAAACGTCAACTAAAACGCCAGCGAGGTAGAGGAAACATGAATGATTTCCTCGTTGAAAGGATTGCACCAGCTGGGAACGCAACAGAGTGTTATCAGCACTTCATAGGAGGGCTATGGTTCGCAAATACCTTAAATGAATATTAAATGCGTTGACTTCACCTTATTGGCAATATCTGGAAGGATGTCACGGAGATTAACGGAGAAAGAACGAGCCATAAAGCGTATGACACGACAGCAACGTTCCATGGGGCGCACTTTGGTGCTATAGTGCTCGAGAACCTGACCAACGACTGGCCAAACCATAGTTGTGACAACCCTGAGGCAGCCGTCCAAGCAGGCCTGAGCTGAATCTGCTAGACTATTCACGTCGGCTTGACGTTGTTGTTGAACTTCGTCAGTGGACGTGCTATTGAGACGACTACGTCGATAGGCGTCATCAAGACGCGGAAGGAAGTTCTGCAGTGAGCGAAAAACAGTTGCTAGGTAGTCCAGCCAAACACATGGATCCGACAACGAGTCGACGGATTCGATTTGCTGATTCTGTTCCATCAACTAGAAGTGAGATGACAAGAAACGATTCAAACTAGAAGAGACGACGAAAGCAGAAGAATGGAAAATGCATCCTTACTTTGGAAATACATTGGACACTGACAGAGACTAGTTGTGCCAAGCGTTCAGGCAGGATAGCCCGAGCAGGTCGAGGGTCAGTGGGGAAGGTGTCCTGAGGGGAGTAGGCGATGGAACTCATAAGACCACGGCAGATGCCCTCAAAAAAGTCGATACCATCTTGCACCGGTGCCCATGCCAATCGAGGAAGTGAATAGGCCACTCGAACTACTATATCCTTCCAGTGTTCATCTAGTAATGTCGCTGCTGCCATTCCCCCACCATTGGCCATTACGTTGGGCGTCAAAATCGTATGCACGCGATATACAGTACAAAGCCGACCCAGAGCTGAAATTGCCGCACCTACGGCTTGTTTTTGGCCAGGCTGAGGAGAGAATGCCGAAAATGACATACGTAATCACCTCGAGTGTAATGCTTGAATTACTAGTAAAACTCAAGTATCGGCGAATAACTGTTAAAAAAAGGCAGAAAGTTCTTGTTTAAGGTTCTTTCAGAATGTCTACTCATACCTGCAGTTGAGTAGCAGGCACACCAGCGGCCCTTTCAACAATTTGAATGAGTTGCTCGACAATTTGCCTACGAATTTCGGGATGACATGCGACCCAGTGGGAGAGTTCGGCATAGAGGATGCAACCAACCTCTTGTAAAGGGGCCGGCGGTGTAGCGGCAAGACCTGGTAGCACGAGGGAGGAGATGAGAGAGGCGATGCGGCCCTCAGGGTCGTGTGGTGAAAGTCGCTTCGCCACGGTTGTCAGCATGAACAGACAGGCCTCAGCCTCACGGAAGACGTTGATTGCTGTCCCCACTGTATTCAAATCTTGCAGGCTTTTGATATGGTTATACAGCTAAATGCATTAAAAAGGAATTTAGTTCCAAATACTCCAGTAATCCTGTTAAATAGACACGGTGAACGCTTTATATGTGGCACTGGTACACCTAGAATAAAAAGCTGTTTCAGTGACAATCTGAAAACGTAGTAGTGAAGCGAATTGACAGCTTGTTGAGTGCTGCATCAACAGGCCCAACTTCCCAAAAAAATGATAACTTAGTAAATGAATATGGAGGGTTCTAGGTAGGCCCAAGCAGAATATTGAAGTGGCAGTGTGGAAACAATGGTAATGATGCTTACTTCAGTGAAGATAGTATCAGCGCCAACCAGATCAACGATATCCTGCATTAGGCCGTGGGCATCCTCGCGGAATGAACGAAGATCCTCAGCTGCCTCAAGGTCTTCTGTATTGCTGGGGCAGTAACGAGCGAGAGCGACAACAACACGAGTAAAGTAGGGTATGAGGAGGGCCGTGACTGGGCGGGATGCGTTGGAGATCATGTCACCGGCTGCAGCTGCAGGAGGATTCTGACGACCCGGCGATGGACCAAGACAATTATGATGCTATTAGGCAAAAATAATCGTCTCAGAGACAAAAAAATAACTACAACAGAGAGCATATATTGGCTTACCCGCGCTGCGTCATCTGCAAGTGACTGGAGAGCGTAGAAGGTGTGTAAAGCATTAGCACGACACCCAGCAGGGGGTGGCGATTCTAGTACAGCTAGAAGACAATCCAAAGTGCGTAAATCTCCCGGTTCGCTGGAGCCAGGTGGGGTTGGAGTCCGTACTAATGCGGAACGTACGGTACGCGCGAGTGCGCCAAAAATTTGCGCGATGCAAGATACCCGATCGACGTAAACTTGACAATCAATTGTGTTGTTTCCAACCACTTTTGAGGCTTGGAGGGAACACTGTTTCAGGACGTTGTAAAGACCGTATATGTTGTTTTGTAAAAGCTTTAACAATTCGCTTTGATAGCCCGTTACAGTCTACAGGTAAAAAAGCACAAAGGTTACCCAGTTGGATGCACAAGCGATATCGACAAACAAATCCAGTTTGAGATGCAAAACTTAGTCATATTTTAACAGTTATAAACTAGTTACATACGGGACAATAGTAGAGCAAAGCTAAAATCCACTCCATTGACGCATTGTAAGCTGCTTCAGGGCAGTTTTCGGGGTGCTGAAGTAGATAAAATGCCCCCTCGAGAAGTGGTGAAACACGAACATCAGTATCCTTCATAATCCCCGTATTGTCCCACCAGCTGGCAAGACAGTTAAATATCCGCGCAAGCGTCTGTGGAGTGGCATTTTTCACTTTGTACGACTAAAAATATACAAATAGCCATCAAGTACAAGCAATTGTGGACCATTTAAAGCAAAGAACTTACGAGAAAATCAAGAACCAGACCCTTTTGTGATTCTAGATGTGCCATGAGGGCATGCCTTCGATTTAGCCCAAGGCGAAGTGTTTTAGAATTCATCTAATACGGTATTAATAGAAACATCAAGGCCTACTTCTTCAGCGATGAACTTTAAGACATCAATAAGATATGTGGACGTAACTTCCGATGTCGAGAGTCTATACGATGCTGATAGAAATAAGTACCTACGTCTTTACGATGTCAGAGATAGCATCATTCCAATGCACCATTTGACAAAACAGATCTGCCACAGCAAGACATAGTTGATTTGCTACTGAACTGTGGCTTTCATTAGTAAGTTTTTGCACATGATTTAGCAAGGAATCCTTCAGCGCCTACAAGCATAAAAGTGCATGAAGAGCGCAACATACGCCATGAGCAGCGATTGGAAGTTCAGTAAAGTAAATTTGGATCTAAAAAATGCGTGCATACGGATAAATGTACCTTTATGCGTATAGTCTGGGCTCCAAAATAACAAGAACTTAAGTCTCGCTTTAAGTACAGTAACTGGTCTGCTATCTCCCACGCATAAACCTGCACAACATTGCAACGCGAAATTTCATTACCGATTTTTGAAACTCGCACAGCCATTTTGAAGCACTCTCTTTGATGGAATTCTCCGGATTCACGTACAAGGCATCAATGGCCTGCAAAACATTGTCGAGAGTGGGCACACTGTCGCTACCCATTACCATACGAGTAACGTGTCATTTGACACAAAACTGTAAAATTTAACTGGCAGAATCACAGTACGAATTACAAAGTACTTGCAGCAGCAGCAACAGCAAAACAATCTATATTAAAATTTAAGAATTACCGAGCCTAGATCTTGATTGACTTCTATAATTATAAAAAAATCTATACTACTACCGGCAGTAAGGTTTAATACAGGGCTTTCGATGAAATAATATTCAATCAAGATGAAGACTGCTTGGATTTTGGATGAAACATGCTTCATGCTGCAAGTATAGAAAATCTTTTCCATTGCAAAATAGTCTTCCAAGGTACTTTTAAAGAGTCTAGAAGTTGTAAAAACTCCAAAAGAGACATGCACTTGGCGAAATTTCAAACTCCTAGTGCAGAATACCGAAAATTCTCCCATAAAAAAGGATACAAGAAGAAGAAGGAAGCGTAGTCTCGGCATTGTCCATCAAACACAAGAGTTACTTCCAGCCGAGCGAATTATTACACCCGGTATAGCTAACCACAACTAAGAAAATGACTGCAATTCCTTGGTCCTGTTGTTCGAATTGATCTTATTGAATCAACTTCCAGTCTTTACTGAGAGCCCTTTGAAAATCTCTCGTCTTATTACCGTCAGTTGGCCACCCATGCATCCCATCACTTATTCCAAAGTACTGTACCAGGAGTGGCCACTCAAGCCGTGCCGTGTTCGACTACTACGGCGACCTAGACTATCCGTAGAGATAAGAAATCAAACCGAAATAAACTGTTTAAAAAATGATGAAGAATTGTCAGCTTATAGCTGGTCATGATAACGCCCAAACAAGCAGCTTATAGCGAAGAAACCTAGCCAGCGAATCGTGGATTTATCCACTAAGGTGCCAATTTAGCCACATCATTGGGAGATTCAAAACCAATTTCTGACTGGGTTTCAACATCCCTCACCAACACGTAGAAGCATTCGTCTCATGAAGTCCCCGCAAACATCTCGAATTTGGTACTCGATGCACATTAAGTAAAAGCCGACCGTTAGCCGTAATGAGTAAGAACAATAGAAAAAACGTGAAACAAAAATATTCACACTACGTACAGAAAGAAGTGAACTTAAGTCGAAAGTTCGCACTGTGCATGCCCAGAAATTCGTAGATACGTAGCAGAAGTCATGTTGGTTGTTTGGGGGTAGTGGGGCGTGAGAGATAATCTTCAAAATCAACAAGCTGGAACCAATGCCCACAATGACACTGATAAGGTTTTCCTTTCGAAATTTCCATCCAGTTAATGGTATCTGCCTGTGGTTCACCTGAAATAATAGATTCGGTGCAAACACAAAATAGCCGAAGTGCACAGATTGGAAATACAAACCAACTAATGAAGGAAGAAATATTGTGCGCAACACTTAATTTGTAACGCGAATCTGTAGAAAGAAACACAACACAAATCTTACAGAGACAACCGATGAGTCGGGTATCTGATGTAGAGGCTATTATATTCGGCTCGTCAGCTGAGGTAATTGGTGGCATCTTGACGCGGCGAACCTCATAGGGATCCTGCAGAGTAAATCACATCAAATGGAAGTACCAAACTTGTTCAACTATAATCCTCTCTACTGCTACATAATCGCCATTCTTGACTGCTTCAGATAGGCACTTGAGTTGCTTCCCTGTATAACACTGCACGAACGATACCCTTCAACCAACCTTCAGATATGTTCATCGTTGCAAAACGACGAAAAAAAGGGACAACCCATGGGAGACTATCCCTTAAAGATTCCAAAATCATTTTTAGCAAACTTCCACTCGTGGAGCAAATGGCTTCTACGAAGGATTCGAAAATGCAACCCTATGATCGATACTTCAAACAAGTGGCCCATAATACTGTCAAGCGTGAAGTCTAGCACAATTTCCCCAGTCACTAAGCAGAGTAACACTATAGATGTTAGTATTGTACATAGCCTATTCGTTCTATCTTAGTTCCTTACAAAATGTTTTCGTTTGTCCAAGCCATTAGTTAAATTATCAAACATAGACCCTACTTGGCAGAACACAACTTGAGTTTCTCAAGTAAACCACCTTGCTTCCTAGAATAAACGTCCAAACTTTTCAAATCCATGTACACATTTAATATATAACATTTCAGACCGCCAATATGTTGACCATCCGCAGAGCCCCTAACTACCAACTGGGAGACCACGCTTTAAGCCTATACCCACACCCAGTGGCCCCAAAAATTTCACCCCATTTAGTTAACGGCTTCGCAATTAGGCCCCTCGACAACTTCTTACCACTCCCACCCAACCCAGATAATGGAAGGAGCACCAAACATTAAAAATGCCCGTCTATTTGCAGAAAATTTTAAATACAATACATGCAAGAAACTCTCGGAACTGAGTCAAGAGAAAGGATATATGATAACGGGAATCCATGCCTGGTAAGCAGACATCAGACATTCACAGAGTCATCGGCCACAGGAAATTATACGTCTTTATTCTCCTCGTCACTGCGACGCCTTCGTTTAGAATCGGGTGGATTACCATTCGTGGACGGAGGTGTTTTCTTTTTTTCCCGTCCATTACAATCGGCATTGTCCCCAACAGCTGACGGCGATGGTGTATTGCCCTCCTCTTTGATCCGATCGTCCAGTGGAGAGTCGCAATCAATCACCTCCACTTCCGTGCTCGCAGTTACTGCGTTTGCACGATGCCGTTGAAGCTCAGAGTCAAGTTCGCAACGACGCAATAGTTGCTGCATAAATCTATCATCTTCACTAGAAGACTGTGATGATATGGACTCCGCCACAGCAGTGGGTGAATTTCTACTCTGCTGTTGCTGCTCTTGCAGACATTCGCTGGCTTCCTCCAAGGACAATGAAAACTCTGCACCCTTGAAAATGTACATATTCGGTGGGAGACTTGTAAAACTGTTCTCTGCAGTGCAAAGAAAACTCTTATGAACTTGTTGAATGGGCGATAAAACAGACCCGTTTGGTAAATCGACATACCGGGCAAGTATTCTGACAGATTGAAAGCAACTTTGCCATCTTCGGAGAACGAAGAACTAGATTCCGAATCAGAATTACTGTAGAAATCAAAGTCATCCACATCAATAGGGCGCTCTGAGGTTCCATCCAAAGTTGATTTTATATCGTCTGAAATATCGATTCCTTCTGACTCTGTTACCGAAGGCTGTAATCCTGCAGAAGAACCCGTAGCCTCTTGTGCTGTGAAATTTGTCTCATCCGACGCCATGACTGCAGATGTGCCCGCCACCAAACCACACGAAGCTTTTGGACATTTTGATGTGGTTGACTTGTCACCATCACCACCACTCAAATGGGGCGATGAAACGTTGGCTTCCTGGGACAGTGCAGAGACAGCAGCGGATAGAGGTACGGTCACATCCACTTTGGTTGGAGAAGAGGTGTCTTGAGGGGCAGACTAAAAACATTAGAAAAGGTGGATTTCGATAGCTGACAACAAATAGCACAACAGGCATTATTGCGCGTCTCAATATTAGAACAAAGACGCAGTAAACAATCCGAAGACAAGGAAAAATCATCATCGCTAAAAATGCGCTAAACTAAGCAGCTATCCGGTTTTCCTTAGCCGTAAGAAACGTTAAGAGGCTAGTGATTGACCTTTAAATATTAATACTGGACAACGAGGTCCAGTTACCGATTGCTTATGAAAGATGATCGCGACTTACGGATGCGACATCGGAGTCCTCATCGACATTCCAACCCAGCTGTCGGCAGAGGTATTGAAGGATCACATCGCAGTCGCCGAGAAGCTCAGTATCAAAGTTATGATGCGAAAGAGACTCACGATTGATAAGGATTTGGGGCACTTTACCGGGAACGGAATCTATGCGCAGAGAAAAAGACAGTTGTTGTTGCATCATAGACAAAAATTGCAAATAATAGTTTATGCCCACAGCTACAGGACTAATTAAATGAAACACTTACGAACGCGATCTACTATTACGAGGCCTCAAAAACATAGAGAGAGTAAATGCATGGGGAAACCCTGACTGTGAAGAACTACAACATAAGGGTGGGAAAGTTTGTGGTTCTCCAAATATGCTGACCCCACTAAACAAGTCCTTGAAAAAAGACTAAAAATGGATAGAGAACATATGATCGTAAATTTGATCTTGAAATAGGAACACCATTTAAAATTAGTTTGCAGTGAAAACACAACAAAAATGAAGTCTTCCTGTTTTCAAAGCGGAAAATAAAAAAATGATCAAACGTAAAATTAATCTATCCTCAAACTAGTAAAAGCAAACCCATTCTTAATTCACATATTGCAAAATTACGGATAGCAAGAAGTAACAACAGAGATAAAATGGAGAGGTTTAAATCTTAAGAGTTAAGCAACCTAATTTTACCCAAATTTGGAATGGAAGAAAATCCAAGGTCTGGGGAGGGTAGTAATGAAGAGCGGACTGAACTAGGCACTATATCGTGACTACCAAATCGTGAGAACAACTTACTAGGATTGAACAATCATTGAAAAAAGTTAGTCATTTTGCTCCTAGCCGCATCCACAAAAGGCATATTAAAAGGTCCCAACTTCCCCTTAGCAATTCCTTCAAATCCAAGTTTACAGAACTATGGAAGTACAAAATTGCTATAGCAAAAACACGGAAACCCAATAGATACGCTTGAAATGAAATTGGCTAAATTTAAGAAGAACAATGGTAGAAAACGTACCTGGTATGTGGGAAACCGGTCTAACTTTCAGCGAGGATCCCATAACCACAACGAGATCAACTTCACGTAAATCCTGATGCAAATATTCATGAAACTCTGTAGGCAGACCTTCGCCGAAGAACACAATGTCCGGCTTCATCACTCCATAGACGGATGAAAGAGGGGAAGACGCGGTGGAGGCGGTGTTTACGTCGGTGGGGCCGACTCCGGTCACTGAGGTTGCGCCCTTTAGGCCAACGTCAGGACGGCATTGAGGGCAGTGTGGAATTCGTTGGGCCATTATTGCCTCACGTATATCTTCTCCACGGACCTTGTAACTGCAGCTCACACAGCTTGCAGTGGCAAATGAACCTAAGAGCCATTGGTTTACCAACGTTCAAAACAGTGTCGAAACGAAATGTAGCCTAGCATCACAGTAAATGCCTGAATGAAAAACTAGCTTGCCATGGCACTGGACGATGTTCTCAATTCCAGCGACCTGCTCCAGTGTATCAATGTTTTGTGTATAGTTGCGTAGAAGTTTGGACTTTCTTTCAAGCAGTCTGATAAAGCGATGGGCATAGGATGGTTTAAAATGGCCAGGAAAAAGTTCCTAAAACAGACAAGGCTCCAATTGATGACTAGTAGGGTGATCTCAATTACCGAAATTACATATAACAATACAAAGCAAAATACCAGCATTTTAACGCGAAAATATCAATAAATAAGAGAAGATACCTTCGCGAAAGTGAAAAAGGGATTTGGGTCACGCAGGAAAAACTGCAAGTCAAACATATCTTGAGGACTTCGAAGATTTGGAAAGTCACGTGCCAAACGAGCGTAAACACCATTCCTCGATCTGAAATCAGGTATCCCACATGACACAGAGATGCCAGCACCGGTAAGAACCAGAATCCGAGAACTATCCCTGAGAAGTTGGACGACTGACTCCAACGTAGAGAACTGCTTCAATCGTTTTCGACTGGTCGTTTCCGATAATAATGAGAAGAGAATTCCCCACATACTGCTAGCATCTGAGGGAAGCATGCTCGAACTGATGCCGAAAATGCGAGTTAATAAAAGGCGTGGATTATCATATCCAGCAGAAATGAGTGCATTCATTCGAGTGACATTTCGCCACTTCATTTCTTGTTCATCAATATCTGAACTAACGCTGACTATTTCACATTCACTACTGCACTCTTCCTCCTCTTCGTCATTAACAACAACGATGTCCACCGACTCTCGAGCTGATTCCAAATGGTTGTGAGATCCGTTAGAAGCAAGGTTGGCTGACAAAGATCCTTTTGAGTTCTATAAAATGTCACATAAACACTGTAGGTCTTGAGAGTGGTTAAAAAATCTGAACACAAGAGTGCTTTGCAAAAAGAACATTTCGTAGTCAACAGGAAAAAAGGCGTACAACTGAACCGGGTTCAAAAAGCATATGCACACCAATACCACAAAAACAAACCTATTGTTAATAACTCCAAAGAACAACTTGAACATAACAGTTGGAAATCCTCAAAAACCCCAGCCGACCACGTTCTAGATGGTAAGGATGATAGGGCATCGAATGGCAGGCAAGGGTCTAATAGCAAACTAACACATCCTTTTACGTGATATACGAAAAATTGCCCCATTTACTTTCAAATCACAAGAAAATATACCAGCGAGAGAACGACTTTGCACAAAGAAAAGGGTAGCCACTTTCATCAACTAGCCTCTATTTTCACAGAACATCCTCAAACTTGAGATAGCATAAGTACATTTGAGAACGTTCAGAAAATCGTGCAGTTTTATAATCCCATTGGCACATTCACGATCTTCCGTAAGGCAGACCGAATCCCAAACATTGTCCAATTAGCACCACGCAAACTCACTTCCATGCACGAGACAAAATGGCGCCCAAGCAACAGATGACTCGCGACTACGAGTGCGAGTTTAAATCTATGTACATGATTCCCATGATCTGTTTAACAAAAAAACGCAACTGCAACCAAAATGGATCAAAATTTGCATTTTTGTGAGGTGCGACGAATTTCCTCTAAACCTACCTATAGCAGCCTAATTTAGACTACTTATAAAATTTTAAATGTTTAATTTGAGAACATGTATGCACAATCTTTTATGCTCTGTGCGTTTACCTTCTATGAGTCATACATTCTGCGTCATCTAAATAAAGTACGTTCTTTTATGCCCTTCCCACCTAAACCATGAATGTGCAAGAGCACTTTCCTCTTATTCTAGCTTCTTAAGGCAGCGGCACCAGCATCTGCATAAAATGACTTAGTGTACCAAGACTGTATGAATAGTCCGCAAACGAAGCAAGCATCCACCATCACAACTACCGCGCCATGGCTTGCACCTCCCGAACACCATGGGACTGCCACACTGACCCCAGCCAGTGCAGAAACTACCCATGTCAATGCATTCTGCGCAGCAGAGATGAGTGCTGACACTGGCGGACCCGGCTACCCAATCAACCTACATCCCCCACCTTCAACAACAAGAGGTCCCCACGGACGAAACACCACGCCCCGCTCCGGACAGCAATGATTTTGTAGCACTACCCGAGGTTAACTTGCAGCAGGAAAGCATACCCCGCACCCAGCACCACAGATGTAGCCCTAGCTGCTGCTACCACACCCTCCCCCCGTACACCAAAACATGCGATGGCACCACCCCGCCGCGAGGCACGCAGAGTTGTCCTGACTACCTATGAGCGAGACCACAGCCTGCTTCATAATGTCAGTAGAACTTTAAGTCATCCAATACCCAAGTGAATAATATAACTATCTTCCTGAACATCCACAACTCCAGACGCACAGGTGATTGCGAGAGTATATGCATTACGTTGGTCACACACGCATAGGAATAGAAAGCAGATGGATGAATGCGAGCGATCGTGATGGTGTGGGAAACAATGGATGAATGACTATAGTGGTTGGTAAAGTGATTGGGTAGCTCTCCTAGGCGGATGTGGAATTGGCTTTCTTCCGTAGCGCAGCTCGATGACTGCTATGGGCGGTGAGTGGTCCTGAAGGAAGCCAATTTTTGGCCCACCATTGCAATATCTGTGAGAGACATGGCAAGGGAGGACGGTGCGGGATCGAAGTGATGCTATCTCGGCTCTCTTCAAGATTCGCCGTCGCAGGAGAAGCCTCCCCGCTGTTCGGCGTCAGGGGATCCACCCCTTCGACGTCATCTGCTTCCGCCTGCTCAGCATCCTCGCCAAGTTCATCATCCCCCAAACCGCTCTCTTGCACTCGCAAAATGGCTTTCAGTAGATCCGTTGTACCCTGCAATTGGGTTTGAAATGAGGTTGCAAGACACTGATGAATTGACTACTTGCAGTTTTCAGGGCTCCACGTGGTAGTCCCATTAAACCACAGCGCAATATGCAGACCTTTGAAGTGCCATCCATGTAAAGGAGAGGGCATGCCTTCTAATTGAAACGGATGTGCCTTTGGAATTTTCATACAATGCACAACTATCAGCAATACTTTTGTTCAGCCCCTGCGATGTTGTCATCCTATCAAGGCGTCGGAACAAAGCAGATCCATAAGGGAGGAGTAAGAGAGTAGAAAGTTCGAGTGATTGCCTTAGTAGTAAGACATTAGTGTTGACATTTTAAAAGCGATAACACAGGAGGGGGAGAGGGGCAATGCATCTTCAGTTACGGTTATGCCCGTTCCAAAGTGCTGTAAGCAGCCAAATTCAGTAATTTAGCTTCCTGAAGACTTCATGTGATTTTCCACTATTAGTCTTTGAAAAAATGGAATCGAATTTCCTTGGGATTGATGCGGGAAGTGTGAAAGTAAGACGAATAAAGAGAGCCTCGAAGCAAGGATAAAGGCATAGCTTACTAAAAAAAATAATGGAGTGTGCACCGAAGGTGATTCCAAGGAAAGTTCTTTAAAGATCCAAACCGATCTGTGGCACCAAACAAGTACACACTAACCTGCACTACGAATGCAAAATTAAAGGTTTTGCAAGGATTTGTGCGAATGATTTTGATCTGCAGTAGCTCACCTGAGGATCAATCTCCCAGGCATGATCAACAGCGTTCCCCTCCGTTTGCAGTCTCCACAACGCCAAAAGAATCAGGTCATCTGAATACCCAAGAACACGAGCATTTTCAACTGGCCAACAGTCAACACTGCTGTCGCCATCTTTGCCACCGACGATCATTTCACGTGCAATCGCCGCCAATCGGTCGATCACAGTGGCAGCAACGGCAGTGTCAGAACGAGGAGAGGAAGATGTTAGATGTTTACGAGCAAGCGGCAACACAGAAGTGAGGAGACGGCGGGTGTTAAGGAAGAGACAGCCGCCACCACCGCCACCGCCGCCTGCAGCAAATCGCGCGTGCACTGCCTCGGCATCTACATCGCAAGGCTGCCAATCGCGCAACCCGAGAAAGCATGCACCACACACTGCCTCGTCCGCTCGCCCGGTGTGGAAGAAGCCGGCACTCGCCATTTCCATAGCTGATGGCCTCTGCGGAGAGTCTGGAGACTCCGCCGTCGTCTCCTCACCGAAGGACGCCACACACTGGCGATGCGTGGCAAAGAGTGGCGCATAGGCGTATTTCTGCACAAGACATGCTGTAATGGAGAATAGCAACATAAAACGATGTAAGCGTTTGATAAGTTTATAGCTTATACTTTGACCAGTTATGTACCAAATGGGAATCAGTTTCGTGGAAGTTGTACCTCAGATGAAAATGCGAGTCCGAATCAGAAGACGGATGAATGCCCATTGGTAAGCAGAACAAGGTATACAGATGCTACCAAGGCTAAGCTTTCATCAAAACTTGATAGTGATGGACTCACCCAGAAAGTTCGGGATTCACTGCTATGTTTGCAGTAAACCATCCATTACTAGGTCATTCGGCATCACCTGAGAAGGGTTAAGTCATGGCAACAACCTAAACTACACAACTCAGGATTCTCGCATAAAGCCTGAGCATCTTCATTTTGATTAGAACACAAAGGGAAGTAGGTCCAAACCACCGATCCCGCAGTGTAGCAAAACAACAAGGAGGAAACATTAAGAGTTCGATGTTCAATGAACAACCATGCTGTGATTAATGCATACATGTTTTGGTGTAAACAGCAATTAAGTCTAGTGTTGACGCACCCAGCGCAATTGCTGCAGTGGCGCAGGTTAATTCTTCCTCTTTTTGTACAGTCACCAGGAAGACATCCCTCAAAGCAGACTGAAAAGCTGCAAACATCCTGATAATGGCCACAAATCAAGCAAGGACCACCACCGCCAGCCGCGGGAAGCCCACGGAAAAAGTGGAGATGTTCTCTTACCAGCCACAAAGCATCACGTGACATATGTAGTACGTTGACTAGCCAGCCAATTAGCTTTATGCAACCATACTATTGGCTAGCTGTCAGACAGTTAAAAGACGGTGCCGTATTTTCATTGGGTAGTGCAGTTGGCCACATGCCAAATTGGTACGCTTATTCCCGCTAGAGGCTGGTGTAAGCCGTCGCTTTGACAACCAGTTTGAAGTTATCGTTGGCAAGTTTTGGAGACAGATACCTGGGCTGACACACGTTTAGGACGTGATCCCCCACATGGCTATCGCATTGGGAGGGTTTTTCTTTTTTAATAACTGTTTCGAGGCATCTAAGTCATCGCAAAGTCTGTTATAAGGATATAAGGAATTAAGGATATAAGGATATAAGGAATTTTTGGTTTTGTTTATGCTTTTGCAAGCCGCCTTAAAGTTTAATATCAATTTTATCTGCCATAGCCTGTATTCTTATGGATTTGGCTTGGACTCAACTTCTTCTTATGTTGAGATCTCATAGTAACACTTGCTAGACTAAATGGCGTTCTTCAAAGCCTATTCTCACTTAAGAAAGAAACTTGACGTCCTGGTATTATGACCCGAAAGGCTTCGCAACAATTTTCCTATCAGCGGTCTGTTTTTGAGTAGGCTGCGGTCCTTATACGTCAATAATTTCCTTTTAGCCGTTGAATCAGGTGGGAGTGAAAACATTGACACTGCGTTGAGGTGCATAGAAGGGATAGGGTGGGTAGTACATTATAGGGCATAGGAGAGCATGTCTGAAAACTGGGCCTCTCGACTGAGGCACAGCAAAGGAACTCCAAAATATCGTGCGAGTTATAAAGCGATCAAGGGTTAAGTGAAAAAGTTATCGCATCCTGGTCAGATATACATCAATTAAGGTCCCACGAGGCCATCAGGAGCGTGGAAGAAGTATAGGGTTGGCACTTCATTGACAACCCTGTACTAGCATAGTTGACAGTTTCAAAAGCAATTTTTCATACATGGCTTGCAACTGCAAACCATGTGCAGAAAATAAGGCTGACGTATTTGGTTAAAACAGATTGCCTTTTCAGTCCTTCTGATGGAGTTTCGCTCAAATTCCCGCATCAACAATGGAAACTAAAGTAACAACTCATTAAACCATAACAGTGGAAGAACTTTGTTTACTCTTGGCAAATGCGCCAGTCTCATGTTCGCGTGCATGCTATTGATGACTAAAGTGACCACAGATGTAAAACATCAAGAAACATTTTAGCTCAGCCGTTTACGATATCAGGATGAAGGCGGGAACAAAGGAAAATCATAATACTTCCACTTCTAGAACAATAAGATACATATCGCATTGGACAGCGCTAAAGCGGGGAAAGTGTGGCAAGGGAGAGGAGACATGAAGCTCTATTCTCACAAAACGGTTTTAAATCCCGTCTCTTATCATCTAATTATTTTCATACCGATGTTACTGGGACTACTGATTGTCTGCAAATCTGCCCTATCATCAGTACTGCTTTCTATCAGGACGAAATCAAAGAGCTAATTGGACTGCAAATAAAGCCTTTTCGGCAATCTCGACTACGTGATAGAGGCTTGTAAGGCGGATCAACCAGGAACGCTGCTACCATAGTTGCATAAACTATCTCAGTGGCGTGCCTTTCTCTCCCTATCGGGAATCCGAGAGGCTCACCTATGCTTGTAGTGTTGCAGCTTTACCAGCAAAGTGCAAGAGACACCGGTTGCAGTTGTCTCACATGTCATGGTAGTCGAGAACACGATGTCAAAAGCAGTTTAAAAAAGTCATAACGATGAAAATTTGATTCGTCAGCTAACGCCTTGCCAACTGCCTGTGTTCGACTGCCGCCGCCGAATCCCCCATCACACCCAATCATCGTCGGCAAAGTTTTGCCTTTTTTGCAGACTGCTACGAATCCATTGCACAGTATGATTCTCTAGCCAAACCATTCAATTCCAATTTGCCTTCCGATAAGACATATGAAAGAGGAATTCAGCACAACCGAAAATGAAATGTAGACTGACCCTCCATTGATTCTACCCTGTGCATCCAAATGACTCTCATTGACATCGCGGCATTCTGAAATACCATTTTAAACTGACTCCTAAATAAAACAACAATGAGTCTAGAACCAGAATAGCTTCTGTGGCATTCAATTTAGCCTGCTCAAGGTCTTCGTATCCATTAGAGGTGCGAATACAAATAAGCTGTTTTTGTTCCACTTAACCTTGCATGCCATAAGATGTCGACTGATCTTCATGAGAGTACTGAAAGGTTGATTCGGTTTCAAAGCCACAGGAACCTCTCACAGGTGTTATATGTAGGAGCAAAACAGTGCTGCCAAGGCATTGCTTGGGCAAGCGTTGCATACAGTAAATGTTGAACTCCGAGTTCATTATTTAATGTGTAATTAATTACACTAAAGCCTCCAGCCATGATTGTGGAGGGTTGTGTGCTGCTCTTGCCACATAATACGTAATATGATTGATGGAGCAGACCGTTTACACCGGCATCCAATGAAGGCTTGCGAGTCCCATGGCATGCCCTAACAAATGACGGAAGGTGGGTTCTCTTTCCTTTGGAGTTGTTTTTAGAGCCTTCAACACATCTTGGCTGTTTGCAAGCCGATTTGAGCTGAAAAACAGGCTTCGTATTCCATCATCCCAACATTACCTAAAATACCGAGGATAAAATTGTTAGCCACGACTGGCAGGAGTCCAAGTTGTCATGATGCACTTCGGTGTGCACGACCTGTTGCCAAAAGACGTGGTGGATTAATGCAATGACCAGCCCCAAAACCACCCACGATAGGATGTGCGCTCATCCCTCAACAAGTTTTTCATCAGGTAATAGTGGTCGCTTCTTGATGTGGACTGAGGGAAATGAAGGTGCATTGATTCTAGTGGTAAAACTTTGCATTAAGGCGGAACTTTCGAGGTGTCTCCAGTTCAAAGCGCCATACAGATTTTGGAATGCGGTAACAATCATTCCAGCCAATGGTACATGTGTGAAATTTTTAAACTAATGTCTCCATTCCATCATACTTGATTGTGAATGGGTCCAATAGGAGGTCTTACTGCAGACACAAGTATGGTCTGCCGCATTAACAGTGGCTGAAAATGCAAAGTCGGTAACGGTAGTCACCAGAAAGTCGTTACGAAGCAAAGGACCCTTCTCTTACATACTTGATGATCGGGAGAAGACCACCGCTAACTGAGTGCGCCCCAAAGACTTTGATTTGAAGGAACGTACTTTCAGTAGTCAAAGGCGAATGCGTATTCGAAGCTCTATTCTAACCTTAACAAACGCGATCAAGGAAAAACTTCTGTCCCAGACACACCACATTAATTGATTACCAACTTCAGTTGCAAGACGCTTGGTGTACCATAGCAACAGCAAGACGCGGTACCGTTTGCTCAAACAAATAGGCAGCCAGTGACACAAGAAAAGCGTACCTGTTTTGCTATCGTAATTACCAAACCGATAAAACCTAAATGGGTTAACTGTGACCAACTTAACTCTTAAACAGGGGGACAGAACCGACAAGCGCAGGGTAGATCCCAACGTTGTCTCACAATTCTCTTGATGTCAGTTAACAAATGATCACAACCCACATGCACCACGTAGCTAATTGAATTTAAATGCACACCTCTTGAAGTGCTATAGACACTGAACAAGAGACATTTGTAGAACAACGACATTCAAGAAAAACACCTACCCGAGCACCACCTACTCACCAACCAGACTCAGAATCAAATCCACTACCCTCTCTCCGTTATTCATGTCAAATAATGAAATGCCATCATGCAACTAGTTCTTCTGAACCACCAACAAATTCCGCGGAAAAGTGGACCCACCATCACCCTTCAACCTTCAGCTTCGTTAAGGCTTAGCCATTATTTGGAGATACGAGTTTCTTAGCTGATAGTACGGGAAGCTTGCTAAGGCTTGTTACTTCCAATCTGTGGTTTGGGGATCCCGGGCGTAACATAGTAAGACAATCTCCTCCACCGGTTTTTACGAATAGTGCAAAATGATACTAAGTTAAACCGACGGGTCGGCCAAAGCATCAGTGAAAGACTTGCAGGTGCAATGACCCAGAGTCCCACTTTTTTGAAATGCAAATGCACTTCCAAGGTCAAACTTTGACCAGTCAAAAACCTAAAGACAACAAATTCATCACGTGCAGACAACCGGAGTTGTGTTAGTTTCAAGAGGTTTTGTCTTGTAGCGACGTCCTTGACAAAGAAAGAATGGGTGTAAGATGGTAAAAATGGCCCACCACTACCGCCAATATAAAGAAAATAAAGAAGCGTGAATTTGAAACATGTTAAAGTGCTAAAATATGAATAGTTAAAAAATTCCACGCCTGGCAAAAACCGTCGAGTGGAAGGAATGATCTACTTCAATGAGGCTATTAAAAGAACAAGGTTGCTACAAAAATACCACAGAAGGAATACGTTATATGAAAGACATTCTTAGGGCAAATTCAGCATGTCGAATTTCGCGTAGATATCTTGAGTGAGTTGGTAGACCTTGCGAAATGTGGGTAGTGAGACCCCAACAAGGTACTCACGACAGGATGCCTCATCTTTCAACTCTCCACCTGCCGGCTGGTTGGCTACAATGGTGTCAACAAAAGTGTGGCGGTATGGCAACGTATGGAACGCCACCGCTACCGCTTGTCGTACGACCCAGGGATGGTGAGTTGCCAGGCTCTCATCGTACGCTGACTTCGCCAACTCCGACAGCGTCAACTCTGGCGGTTCTAAGAAAAAACACCAACAGTTAATTAAGATTTTAAAAACATTATTTGTTCAGGCTACTTTGAGTCCGCCGTGATCACACCACCATTTCCGATAATATCGCAAACTAGCAACTCATTTCCATAGCAGTCAACTTCAGCGCATTCAAAAACGTTTAGGGTAACGTAGACACAATTACTGTTAAATCATGTTATTATTGTCAAAACAAAATTGAGCAGATTCACAGGCATGTTATAGGGTCGAACCACCCTACCATCCTCTACTTTAAGTCACCTAGCCTTTGCTCGTCAGACCGTAACTTCTTGTATGGCAAACACTAGGCATGTGGGCTCCCAAATGAAGCCGGAGTTGCGCTGAGAGGAAATAGTCTGAAATGTCAGGCTATCGGCAATAAAGGATTTTGATAATCGGTCCAGAAATGCAAAAGTCTTACAGGAGACAAAACCCTTATGACAATCAAAATTGTTTTCACTACCGAGGGTCACAGACTCCGCACACCACGCAACACCAGTACGTAAAAAAGATGAACCTCACAACCTTACAGATAATCGTCTCAAAGAGCGATTGCTACCGGTACGATAAAATAAACCGCTTGAAACAAATGCAAGCCTAGTAAATTGAAAAACAGCCATTTAAAGTCTAAAAGAAATGTCCATCGCATAGTATGCTTAGTATACTGTACAATCACCGTCTGAAAAACTGTTAGAGAGGTCATTGCACTTCAAGGGTAAAAAGGTTCTGCAAAACGTTAATGAAGCAGTTGAAGCTGCAAAAGTCCCCATCCAACTGGTTGCCAAGACAAATATGGGTCAATACAAAAGTAATGCAATCACACAGACCCGTTATAAGCTGTTCTCAAAGTACCTTACTTAAAGATTCTATGAGCGATGAACCCATACCGCAGATTAAGAGGGGAGAACAGTCACCTGGCGAGAGGAACTGCATACGAAAACCGTACAATCCTTGTAAATACCAAGCTAATTAATGGCAAAATTGTTCAATCGCGTAAGAGATCAGGAGATGTGGTGACTTACCATTGCAAACCTTCTCGAAGAGACCAATGACGAAGAGGAAGGCACGATGCAGCCTTAGTAGGTTCCGACTACCCAAAGTGCATTTTGCATCGGACTTTGGGCGATTGTTTTCATACTGACCAGCTTCGAAATCACACATTTTCCGCACAGTCGTAAAGTGTTCACAAAAATCGGTGGGATGCTTAGACGCGTCACGTAAATCGTTTAAAGCACCCAATTTCTGATCGACATCCCGCAACACAAAATGCATGATGTGACCAAGGTAGTCTAAGAGGCTTGAAGGGAAATTATCCTGGAAGATAGGTACAAACCTGGACAGTTCCTTAAAACCTTCACAGTAAAATTGAGTTGCTATATCATCCCCAATGAGTGCTTGAGAAAAGTGTTCAGTCACACGTTTAAGGTCAAGACAGGCAGAGTTTGGATCCGTCATTTCCTGAGAAAGTAACGAAGAATAATTACGTCCAAAAGATTATGCTCAGTCCCACATAGGGTGCACAAAGAAGCATCATGCGCAACAACAATGAAAAATGACCGACAAAGAAAACATGTAGGTTTCCAGTGCCGATCACATGAATATGATGACAACACGGATAAGTTAGCACAGCCGTGAGGAAAATACTAACAAAAGATGGGCTCCACCAGCAACTACAACATAAGACATTAGGTTTCTAAATAAAAGTCCAGCATAAAACATTGATAAACGATCAAAGTACGCATGGAAAGTGACCATGTTTGAGAGACAAGTGTACGAAATCAAAGATGAAAACAGCTGGATTATCACTGCTAATACCAAATTTTGACACACTACTCGGAATCTTGCGAGACTTGAGCCACGGTTACCATATCTCCATGCCAATAGACATCGGAAAAAAGAAGTTTAGTAGGCTTCTAAAACATCCCAGCGGAGCAAGCCCGAGAAAGCGAGAAAACGTACCCAGCCCGCAGTAACCAAAGTAAGCAAACGTCGACGTCACAAAGTAAAACAAGCGGGTAAGTTTACTCAACATATATTTGTCTTCTAGTATATTTTTTGCTATCAAAAAATGATACCGAATTCATGCGCAAACGCATTTGCAAATACGAATGCAAGCTGTGGATCCGTTAAACAAGCGGGTCAACAAAGACTATTTCCTTGGGAAAAAACACACCACGATTGTGCCATTAAATTTAACATTTGTGATTTTTTAAAAAGTGATTAAGCTTTTTAGAATGCTTTGTGCTTTGACTCAATACTTTTATTTTTCTTGTACTCATTATTTACGCGAAAAATCTACGGTAGTTTATGTACTTAACCACACATGAAGTGGGTGAAATCGTCACCTAAAGCTCTATTATCATGGATATTACTTCGACTTATAGTCGTGACCTTTGCCCAGAGTGTCAGCTGAGCACGGTGTGCATCGTTTATGGTAGATATTGGCTTTGAATTTTAAAATTGGAGCTTATGCTTCCGCTGTCTTTGTTGAATTTCGATATACTTTGTGGCAGCTGTACTTTGAGCCTGTCGTTTATGCTACTATAAAAGATAACTATTCTAGCACTTCTTGTCGAGGGTATTAACAGGTATTCTTCTCTGCTTTACATTTAAATGCTTATCTCTTGTCATCCATCAAGTTTGTTGCTTTCAGATTGCCTTTCTTGTTGAACTGTTTGCGTTCCCAGCGCTTTTGTTCCTAATTTATCGATTGATGAATTAATTATCAGGCTCACACGTATCTAATCCTTTTCTGTGCCTTTATCTCCAGTTGCTGATGTGTATATGTAAGGATTTTAATATGCTTAGCGAAAACGGGACCTGTTTTTGAAATTTGTTTTATCATTGGGCTTTTTACACGTCAGCCGGAACAACATCTATGGAGTTGCGATGATAAGGGTAATGTGTATTTCCTTTCCTCCTGGGAAGCGGGATGGAGACGACTAAGAGCAAATCGAGGTGTTCAGCTTCGTGTCAAGCGAGTCGTGGCCTGTGCGTGGTGTGTATGGGTCATCGGAGTGGATCAGTCGCCTTATCTTCTTGTTCCTTTCGATGGAACAACAATACGTGTCGCAGAGGTGATCATGCAGCATGAAGTAAGCTACTTTTTACAAAAATAGTATTATTTTGCTTTAGCGTTGGAACCCATCATCGGGCTTCTCTTCATCAAACCTCACTGCAAAAGATCCTCCTGAATATCAACAGGTTGGGTGCGATACTTATAGCTGGACTGATCTCCCTTCGACTCGATGGCAGTGGGAATCATCGGAATGGGAATATATGCTCGAGCACAGCGAGGATCGGGCAGTATGCTTATTTTTTTAAGTAGCTTACCTTTGCTTACTTAATTTTACCTCTTGTCTGCTTAAGGGTTGGGAGTACTCAACCTCATTCGGTGAGGATGCCATCTTCTCCTCTTTCTACCAATGCGACTGCGTGGTTCGAAGGCGCCGATGGCAGCGAGTTAGGCGCTTTCTGGGTCATGATAGATGGCTTCTCTGTGGCATTTCCTCCGACGATCTCACTTCCCAGAGCGGGCAACATCACTTCTCGAATAAAGGCATTGTACATGTCCACAGGCTGGCCATTGGCGGACAGGCCATCCCATGCCAATTGATTGGCTTTTTCATACTCTGGGTGGTGACCAAGGATGGACGTGTAGGTTCTGCATTTATCATTTAAGTTGATTGTTACCAATTTGATGATAGCGAGTTGCTTTGGAGTTTCAAACAACTTTCCTCCTTTATCATTACTTTTACTGCATGGAGCCAGCTTTATCGTCTCATGCCATGCTATGCGAAGCGGATGCTAACGGATTATTAGAGCTGTTATTTGCCGCTACAGTTCAAACTCGTCAGATTAAACAAATATGTGTGTCTTCCACGTTATGGCAGCCTGCGACCATAATATCCAGCTATTTGTGAATCAGCTATTGTTCGTCCTTTATGATAGCTTAGCAGTTTGCTTACCATTTTTCAGCTAATCGAATCCTCTCTACAAAAGCATATTTATTGTTCATTGAGCATCCTATTTCTACAGGTTATATGCAGGACTAATGTCCATCGCAACAATCCCGAGGGCAGTGATTGGGTAGAGCGGCCTCTGCTTATGATACAGGACGATAACTCGGGCAAATTTCACCCAGACACGCACCAGCCATTCGCTATTGATATTCATGCCAACCAGTATGGTCAGGCCCTTGTTTTAACCGACGATAATCAACTTTTCTATCGCATTGGTGTCGACTTTAAGTCCCCCTACGGTGGGTTTCCATTCTTCTTTCTCAGTTTTCTAATATAATTATAGTTTGGCCCTAAGTTACCCTATTATTAGATTTTTTGTGGGAAGAGGGACGTAATTCATTACTTACCATCATTCTTTTCACACCCAACTTCTACGTTTTTAAGCTGCTTTTGTTTATTTTTATGCCAGTCCTGTGTTGCCACACTTTGGCTATCACGAGTTCTACCGTATTGAGAGCAAATTTTCACGTTTAGAGTTTGGCGCTAAGTTGAAAACTTCGATAGAAATGTTTAATCTAGGTCGACTTTTACCATTAAAATAAGTTGCTTGAGAAATACGCCGAAGCAGACGCACTGCGATAGGATCTGGGCTAAACCATATAGTTATGGTTGTCCTCCCTAAGCTGTCACGGAAAGCCAGTTTTGGTTATAGTTTACTTTAGCCATCTTTAAAGAACTTACAAAGTATGTGAAACTGGTAGCGTTGTTAATGAATGCAAATGGAAGAGTTGAAAATCTGATAGGTCGAGTGGTATGAAATACCATGAAGTCCCATGTAGTAGCCTCTAGAGCAGCTCTCCTGACATTGGACTATTGAAGGCACGTCATGGATGCAGATAGTATGCGATCTTCCGTCACTGGGGTTGCGGGAGCACGAACATCTCGTGTCTGTAGCCTTGGGAGGGCGCAATGCTTGGCTGTTATCAAACACTGGACGCGCCTGGTTCCACGCTGATTTTGGCACTGTCATCGTTCCCAGTCCTTCCCTCGTTAAATCTCGTCGCTCTTGGGCTCCAATGTCCGGTCGTCTCGCCTCTCTCTCTGTCAGCTCCTCCGACCAGGTGCAGCTTGCGTCCTCTATGTTTAAAAATACAGCTTTTTATATTTCTGGAGACACAAGCCTAGAAGTGTGAAACTACTGGCACTTACTTCCCTTGTAGTCTAAAATCTGAGGCGTAATTTTCTTAAGCATTAATTTTTCATTGCATTGCTTCGATGCGAAATCGTTAACGATTTTAGTGTCGTCCTCGCTATTCTTCATTTTTATAAAGTTATGATGAATGCTATTGTTAATCCCGTCCAATGGATTGTTGAAAAATAAGAATACAGTCGCTAGAATTGTAAGAATGCAACACCATGAAGACGCTGGTGGAAATTGCTTCTTTGATTTCACTATCCGATGTGCTTGTTCCATAGTTGTACCAGAAATCCAAGCTACTACCTCATTAGCAAGGATGTTGTGAGCCTTTTGATTGAAATTTTTAATAACGCCAAAAAAACTCACCGCCTGCTTATGCTTTGCAGGTGTTCGCTCTAGATGCCTGCTGGAACCGCCTGATCTACCGTAGTGGAATTAGTCCTGAAGCACCAGGAGGTGAGATGTGGTTGGCCCTCGATTTGCCAATTCTTCCCAATCTCGATGATGACCACAAATTGGGGAGCTGTCTTACCCAAGAAGGTCCCCTGGCCCCCCTATGCGTTCCCCAGTCTGAGTCCATTCAGCTTGTCAGCAAAGTTCTACAGCTTACCAGCCCCGAAGCTTCCGATTCTGCCGACGACGGCCTCGAGCGGTTGAGCGTACCTGAAGGTCGCAGTATTTTTTTTGCATCTTCTGCTTTTACACTATCAGTCATGTTTCTACATGATCGCGGGTTTCCTGCTGTGCGTGAGCATTCCTAGATAGACAAATCTTCCCACTTCAATGCACAATATCACTCGCAGGCATAGGCGTCTGCCATACTTTTTTAAATTATGGGCTGATGGCAATGACGAATTCCTACAGCTAGACACTTTACTGCAAATGGAACGCTTGCCATGCCAACTGAAACCTCCAGTTAGCAACAAGGAGGGCAGTAAATAGGCTGACAGCCCTATTAATATTTCATGAAAACGTATAAGTCACATTTGAAATATTAGTTCAAGAGGAAAATTGTGACATCTGGGTCGAGAATTCACTGTAGTTAAGTTGGCTTTGCTGTGCACTCTTTGAAGGGCGCTCATTGAATATGTGCATTTACGTATTTGCAGACTACGATCCCAACGTCTTCACTCCCCTTCCACAAGTGAGTTCAGTGTAAACCTAATGCTTTTTTCGTGTCAAAGCCCTTAATTTATGCATCTTGAATACTCAGACTAAATCCCATTCTCAAAACAGAACTTTTGGCCCATAATATTAGTCTAACTTTAAGCATTTTGTTACTCCTCTATTTAGCTTTCACCGGCGCACATGCTGAGCCATAGACTTCGCAAGTTCTTCACTCGTCGAAGTCGGAGTCAGATGAACAGTTTTGTCAGTTTTCGCCGTCTCCTCATTAATAGGGATGCCTTGGACGAGAAGAGTGACGCGTCGTGGATGTCGGAGGACCAGGTCTTGCCTAAGATAGGTCACCCACCTATTCGCTTGACCTCGCTCTGGGCCGGCGCTCTGAGCTCCTTAGCCGAGTATCATCTACCGTATCGATGGCGGATTGCTGCTCTCCTTTTGGGTACATTTTATTCAAAGCCTATTTCCTCTGTTTTTTTATTTCATTCCCTTGTTGACTGATAAGCTGAATGTTAGGTTTTTGCGATATCGTGCGATGTAAAATGACATCGTCAAAACTCTTACCATGAAAGTGTAGCATCAGGAGTGAAATAATAGTGTTGATACGTTTAAGCTTCGTAGATTGAGACAGTTTCAACATCATGAAGCCTATCTTAGTCCGTTCGGTCAACCATTACCTCAATTTGATTCATCATCTGGAATTGACATCTCTTTTGAACCATTCACATATTTTCTCCTTTGGAACAGCAAGGAAGAATTTAATCCCCTACTTCACGCTGAATGAGCTGTTTCAGCCTCCTGAGTGGCTCCTTCGCATTAACAGCGCCCTTTCGTCTTCAATGTCAATGGATGTCCTCGAAGGTGTGAAGTCTGCCGATGCGATAGATGACTGCGTGAGTGTACATAGTTATCCATCTTGCCCCAGCCTAGTGGATCAATTTCGACCTTTTTTTTTGAAATCGGTGTTATAAGGGGTGCTGCTCTTTTATCACACCTTTAACTGTACAAAGTGGTGGTTGTTGGAGTTGTTTAGCTCAACTTCGTGCTACTAGTCAAACCAAATAGTTGACATATCTAAGTTTCATCAGCTATTTGCTACTTGTCAGTTGTCAGTTTGATCCAAAAATGGGACATTGTGCCGTTAACTTAACTTTTCGCTTTCATTTGGGAGTAGGGGCGTTTCTGAGTTCTCTCTGAGGGCACAACTCTTGTCTTGACATTGAATGCATTGCCTCATGCTAATATCCCATCCACTGGCATAACATCCTTGCTCTCCCTGTTTAGGCGTTATTTTAGGCAGCAATTTCTCATTTCTATAATCTCATTTGGAAGCTTATTAATCATAGACGCTATGTTACGAGTGCCTCAAACTTCTGTCACTAGAATTGAGTCCCTCTTTCGAGGCTTTCAGCCACACTTTATGTGACCTGTGTTTGAGATGTGCATGGGCAACATACAGTGCCTCTTGCCTGCTGTTTTTGGAAGTACGAGTCTACTGACACTAATCTTGCTCCCTTGTTGCACAAACACCATTGAAAAGTATGAAATGATTTGTTGTAAATTTGTCTTAGAATAACTTGTGAAGTTTTCATGGGTCATTTTTTGCAGTAAACGAAGCCACACTTCAAGGATGAAAGCTAAGATGTGGCGAATGGATTTTACTTTTCAATTGTTATCTCAGTAGCAGACATTATCGAAGTCACTTCTTTGGCAACCACACATTTGCATAGGAGCCATGGGCCCAAACCTTTCGGGTTGATGTCCTCCAAATACCGCTGGAAGATCGCGGCAAATGTGCATGGGCTAAAGCACGCGCTGTAATCACTCACTTTGTCTCTAAAACACGTCCTCCCGTATTTTCCATCGCGGCATCACCATCGTCATCTCGCGCTTCGGTTTCTGAAGGCTCAACGGATACCATGTCGACTTCTCCGGTGTGTTTTTATCCGAAGAAACTCTTTTGTTTATTTTCTTATAATTCAAAAAATGTTGTTTAGGCTGGATAATAACTTACTATTTAACACAATCGATTTGGCTTTACCAAAACAGTGACATTACTTAGGCTCAATTAATACAATGATTTGAACTGGGAGCGGCTTTCTCATAGCTAAATTGAAAGTGGAAATGTTCGCAAGGGTAGTTCATCATCGAAACGGTCATGTTTCATTTCTGCGCTGTCGCCATGCTCCTTGGGGCCACTGACTGTGCTAACAAGCAAACGTTCTATTTTGCACGTAGACGTGTTGACGATGGAATGTGAGGCCAAACACCACGATGACTTTAATTGAATTGGCCGAAGATGATTTGGGTCAGCGTGACGCCTTAGTAATAAAACAAGCTTGGAAGAACTATGTTAATCGGACAAAGTGCTTGTTGGACCAGATGACTTAGTTAAACATACTCCTATTGCATTTTTAGGTGCCTCAGAAAATAGATGGGAAGGAAATTGCATGGGTCGGGTACATAGATTCTCTCTCTATACTAATCCCTCGAAGTCTGAGGGGAATCTGCACTGGTGGCCGTAGGAAGTTCTCGGATAGTCTCCCCATTCGAAAAACAGAAGAAAAGCTCTACGAGGTTCCCCAAAAGACTCCTCCTCTGCCTTCTGTTCCCATTGCCTCTGATGAGCATCTCGTGGCCGTTTTTGTGGGAGACGAAAGGCCACCACTGTCCACCACTGCTAATTCCGCAATGACTGTAACTGCGGAATCTGTTGGAGAGGAGGAGGCAGGGAGTGCCACAGTGTTTGAGGAGTCTACTTCTTTTGTCAGAAGCAACATTGTTCCACGTTGGATTCTTCGCTTCTCCTCCAAAGCTGAGGCGTCCGCCTGGATAGCAGAAACACAAAACACGACGATAATACTGCCTTCTACTAGCAGAGTCTGGCTTGTTACTGAACAGTCTGAAATCTTCTCGGCTGTTGGAACCTCTCTTGACAGCCTTGCATGGAATAGGGTCAGTGTAGATTTGTTTTTTAATCGTCTTATCTATCTAGGTTGGAGGTCACTTTGCTCGCGTGGACAGCATATGCATATCTGCTAAAGGTAGAGGGCAAGTGACATGGGCTTTAGGCCATGATTGCACGCCTTGGGTGTATCGAGAAGAATGGTCGTCAGCAGCCAAAGCTCAGTCCCGATTCTCGCTTAAGCATTTTCCATTCAAAACACCACACGTACAAGCAGATACCAGACAGTTTCGGGTGTATGAGTTCCAGGTCAGGCGTATGCTTCACGGTTACACCTCCAGGTGAATTTTACATTCTAGAGACCTTCGCCTTTCTAAAATGGCTTGAAATGGTAGATTTTTGCTTCTCCTCTTGCCTTTAGTAAAGCCTTTAACGAGCGTGGTGTAATGTGGTCACGAGACTTACGACACCAGCAGCTCTCTAGCCTATGTGACATTCACCTTCCACCACACAAAGGTCAGGTTCACTGGCTAGATGACTGGAAGGTCGATTTCTCGACTTTGCCCGGCTCAGCGCCGCACCATACATCCATGGTGTGGCCGTCAAGGGACGAGGAGCGGTACTGGGAGTACGGCGGTAAGGAGAGTCCCTCCTACTCACCACGAGGGTCGCCCAGGCGCGGCTACAGCATGGACTCCCCCATAAACTCGCCAGACCCGGCTATCACGATGGCACAATCACAGAATCCCGCCACTTTCACTGTTACTGCAACGCCGCTTGTACTTCCTCCTTCGAACGGGGATTTCAAGGAAGGTGTTGTTTATGTAGGGACGACCGAGGGCCATGCCTATTCCATTCCACCTTTATGCGATAAAAAGGGATGGTTTTATGCTTCTCGATCGTCCTCTTCTAGGCAAGTTGTTGAAATCATATGCTAAAATGGTTCCCTTCATAAGGTTTTTGTTCACAAACAGATGTGAAGTAAGCAAGACTCCTAGTGCCTCACACCCTCCAACGTTAGACTGGACCATTAGTCTTTCGAAAGTATATCCAATGCCCTTGGTAACTTTGGTAGGTAGAAGTGTTATTTATGATTGGCTTAACTGTGTGGTTTGCTACAGCTCGCAGAGCCAGCGTTCCAAGTCATCCAGTGGGATGCGGTACCGACGGTGGGTGCGTTCCTGTGTAGTACGAACGGAGGCGCCGTGGCAAGAAGTGGGTCCGTTGAGAGTAAAGTGTTTCAGTCTCTCCTATTCCTCACCTATTAGCCACTGTGTGGATGTCTGGGCTGTCACTGATTCGGGTGAACTTGTCTCTCGATGTGATGTCACTCCCGCCAATCCGGGGGTAAGTATCCGCTAAGCTCTTCTCTACACACATGGTATCCACTTACATTAAGAAGATTGCAGACCCATCATCCTCCTGTTTCATTTGATGTGTGAATATTTAAGCCGTGGTTAAGACGCTAAAATCCTTTAGTAAACAAATAAAGGTCCCATAAACACTGCAGTGCGATAGCTGTTACCCACTGTCGCTCAATTTCTGGAGGAGGGGCCTTAATAAACCATTGCCTACATTTTTGAGGTGTGACCATAAAACTTTCCGATATACTGAACGGTTTATCAATTTTTTTAAAAATAAATGGATTTTGCACAAAGTTTAACCCATTTTTCAAGTAGTTATCATTGCCTTCAAAAGTCTTAAAGTGTAATCCTCTGAGCCTTTTATTTCAAGAGCAATACTATTTTTTACCACTTAAAAGGGCACTAATTTTATTATCTGGCAGGGTTTTGCACCTTTTAAGTGGTGAGACATCTAGCTAATCGCGAACTGAGCGAGCACAGAAGTGAAACTTTTGCAACATAAAAGGAGAGGTCAGTTATTGGAATGCTTTCCTGTCGTCATCCCTTGCCCCATTTGCTTGCACGTGATTGGACCTATTGATTCCTCCCTTGCGGACGCGAATTTCGGCACGCTTGACTGCTGTCAGCCATGTGCTCGAATGGAAAGCGTCTGCCACATTTGTACTCCGTCCAGCCTAATCCCTTTGCCTACACCCAAAAGTATGAGGAGGCACTCGATTTGGTGCACGGTAAAATCCGTCAACTCTTTTGCGACCCCAATCTCGTACACACACCCGAGACCAACGCTTTGATGCGTGACATTGCCGATGAGGTGGCGTATTTACGTTTCGACAGCACTCTACTCACAAACGCTTCACCGGAGTGGAGCAAAAAATTTACTGAGCGTGAGTTAGTAACTCAGCGTCAGGCTTTTCTTGACACCTGCACACTTCTTACTGATCCTGGTGGTCAGCTTACTGCTCGCTATCAGGTCAACATGAAACCGGGCAATCGGGACTGCAGTAACGCCCACTGTGCCTGCATTGAGCTCAAAAAGGATCCGAATGCCAACGCAGACATTGGAATTGGGTGGACAGACACTAGCAGACGTTCAGCTGAGAATTGGGCGGTGAAGGAACTTAAAGGTCTCCGCGATGAATTGAAACCCTTGGCTGAGGAGGCAAAAAAACGCATAAGACAGTATCTTGATGCCTATGGTATCACAGATCGGTACGCGGGATATCACAACAATCTTGGCTACATCTGTCGATCGGAGAACCCTGTGAGTGTTGATCCGGCGCTGCTTAACCCCGGTCGACCTAAAGTTGCCCCGCGCTGGCACATGGGAGTGGAGGATGAGAGGGCAAAAGCGGTAGAGTGTACTGACTTCGTTGCTCCCCAGGACACTGAATGCGAGCGCATGGAGCGTGCAGCACGTAAATGTGAAGTGAAAGTAACCTGTGAAGACCCTGTGGCAGCGGCAGGAATAGTGTGCAAGTTCCCGGGACGAACAGAATACGAGGATGCTTACATCGATCCTCCACTTCACAACCTCCCAAGTTCGGCCAAGAAACCTCCTCGGACGCATCGTTCTGTGTCAGAGCAGCCTCCAGGCGTTCGTGGACGTGGTCCCGATGTTGAAGTTGGCATGGAGTATAAGCATGACAAAAGCTTTGGCATTAGGTCACCACCGAGGCACCAAGATGTATGGGTTCTAGGCACGAAAGACTTGAAGAAGTTCCCTACCACAGAGTACCATGATCGCTACAAAATATTTCGAGCTAGTGACTTCAGCATCTGCCCTTGGGAACGTTGATAGGGTGCGAAGCTTTGTGGCTTCTAAGTCTGACGGTAAGGATAGTAATGCACTCACAAGCATAATCAAAGAAGAATTTGTATTATGTTGACTATTGGACTCTTGTTGTTTACGTAAAAACCTGGAGGGGTGATATTTTTGGAGTTAAATGTGACTTACATTATGCTTGGATTGAATGCGATCCCCAAACTGAGTGTTTTCGAAATGTCAACTCAGCTAGGAGAGGGTTGTAGGGACGTTCTGATTATTCGATTCGGCCAACCCTTCGTTTGCTTTAAGTCACACACAAATGAATGTCTAGTGGGAATGCAGTGTTCTTTTGCCACTGGTCAAAGCAACCCACCATTTTTGGTGAGGTGATCGGCCTGCTGCAAACTAAAACGCAGTGCTTCTCATCATTGCACTGGTCTCAACCGCTTTACCTAGCTGTATCAAAGTTCGACCCTTTCGATTTGGAGTGAAAGAAAGAAGACAGACAGTGTAGGAGTATGAACGTTTCTACTGTCTAAGGCAATGTGACTTCTGTTCCGTCAACTTTTATTGATAGCTAAACTGTTGCACGTTGTATACCGAACATTTCGATTCATTCATATTCTATGAAGATCACTCTTCGGATTCATTTACTTGTTCCACGTCTTAGACGTTGAAACACTCGTTTCAGAATTAACATTCATTTATGTTTTCAGAATGGAAAGAATTCGGCAACCGAAGTTTAAACAGTTCATTCGATTGCTGATTGGTGTTTCATCAGATCCACTCCATGCTGGAATTTGGACGGGAAACTTTTTAAATCAATTTTTAATTACTCCTGTTTCACAACCAATGGAATTCTGAAGCTGGTAAAAGTTAATGTGGGAAGGGGGTTTCTCCCGATTTCCGAATTTTATTTACCACCATTTGGTCAACTGTACTGGGACGATGTGTTTGACCGACCAGGAGTCACCAGGGTAGGTAGTATTAACAATACTCTCGAAACCAGGTCCGCCTAAATATAAATGTTGGGTCTGTTTTCGTTGCATAAATGTGTATTCGGCCGATAAAGAAATTGGTCCTGTGGAGTCACATGGGTAGTTGCGGTGGCTCCATTTTCATTTTGGTGCTGGCGTCTTGAATAACGTGTTGGATAATCAAAATGAGGGAGTAATGGCGTGCCTTCGTTATATGTCCCATTTTCTTACTAGGGTATCATTGTCTCCTGTAGTAAAGAACGTATGATTCGTTTGTTTTTTTTTCAAATTTGCACAGCGGGGCAATATCATTATTCATCAAAAGGGGTAGGAATTTTCAAATCAACTACATGCTTTGAGTACCTCATTCCTGATAGTCACTTTCAACACCATTGCTAGCCCTTCTAGATTGAGTCACATGATCGCCTTTAGTAAGTTTTCAAGCATCCACTTAGGTAACCAAGTCTCGTCTACTTGTAACCGATGTCTTGTGCTTACAACCGTTTAACGGGATTCATGATGGTGGTTTAGCTACCACGCATTGCTTCCTCATTTTAGGGGACCTCCTGGCTTCACTATCCCACGAAGCGGCGCTTGCAATTTGTGGCCGCAGCACCAGACAGCAGTAGCAGGGGACTGTGGGCAGTTTGCGCAGACTTTGGACTAATGTGGAGGCTGGAACTGTGTGGGAGATCAGTGCGGTGGTGCTGTCTCGGCTTTGCACCCAGTGGGGCCGCCTGGCATATCCTCGCTCCTGTCAGTGCGCGCTGCCTCTGGGCCCTTGACGTCGACGGTCAGATCTGGGTTCACATGGTGAACTCCTGTAACCCTGCGGAGCCAGTGACAGAAGAGACCACGGAGGTGGTTAACTGGATCAAGGTTGCATCCCCCCGAGTCTCCGATATATCCTGTAGTCCTGATGGCAAGGTAAGCTCCAGTCATCCTTTGATCACCTGAGTTTTATATTGAATTGGACACTCCTTAGATTAGAACTTGATTCTTGTGTGATGGAGTGACCGAAATACATTTCCAAAGGCTTTCCTTACACGATAATCACATCTCTCGCTATCGGCAACCACTGTCGCTACCTGGAAATTTTTTCCAATAATAGCATAGTTAAACCCATTTAATTTTATGCATGGAATTTAAGTTCGCGCTTTTTAGGTGTGGGCTGTATTTTCATCTACGAATACCCTGGCCATTCGAACAGGAATCTCTGGGAAATTTCCTGGTGGAACGGGTTGGCTGCTGGCTTTCGAGGGAATCGTGTCAAGTATTTGCATAAAGGGGGCTTCTGCTCTTGCATAGATTCACTCCACCATCCGTTTTCTCCAACTAGCAGCAGTCGTACTTACTTGTTTTAGCCTATGTACAAGAACATTTTGCACATTTGTATGGTCTACTAGACTACCCTTCGTTAGATTTCAAGCTCAATTTTACAAAATATAATATGGTTGATATTGTTCATTAAGATTATCCACTTTGTGAAAATGAGCATTTTTCGAAACAGATGAACAAATTGGAGAACCGGGTGTAAAATAGTGGTCGTACAATCTCTTAGAGTTCAATATCATGACTCAGACGGCGGCTATTTTAGGCTTTATGACATTACTTTCTTCCCATCTGATGGCGGGGAAAAACGTGAAGTCAGAAGTCATGGTGATTTAACCTTGAATTCGGCTCTGAGCTTCGTCTCTATGATTAGCCAGAGGATAATTAAGGATACTAAGTGCGGCGTATAACGGGTCCCATAAATGGATTAACCTGGTGGTTGAGTCTCAGCCCGATGGGCTCCAATTTTGCATTTCGGCCCTCTACGTCTTCCATGTGACATATTCATTGCAGTACTCGGTATCTTCATCAACTTTCTTATAAAGTCTATTATATTGCATTCTTTTTCATCAACAATGAAGAACCTTTTCCAATAACTAGAAGTGCGTTTAAATGTTTTTAGTTAGGAAAAAGTCGTCTTTTTGATTGGTGCACATTGTGTGCGATTTGTTTGTAGCAAGGCTGCCTAGTTTGGCGAGCGTCAGGTTAGCACACGTTTGACGTTGTTCCATATGAGTGCTTAATTGTGCAGTACCGCTCCTCTTAATAAACTCGAAGCTGCATTAAGGTTGTCTGGATGTAGCTATAATCCTATTTGATGAAAATTTCGTTATTTGAGGAAAAGATGTCTGTGTAAAAGGAATAATCACTACTTGGATCGTTGATGTATCGGTTATCACATTTACAAGTTTTTCCGTCCAAAGTGGTTCTCTCAATTACTGGTTTTGGCATTTCTGTTTGGATATTAATGATTCGCTTCTTTCCAGACTGGTTCTTGAGTTATAAAATTTGGTTACGTCCTTCCGTCAGATTCGATATCTGTCGCTTTTGCTAAGTCATTCTTATCTTGTATTTGCTTTTATAAACTACTGCAGTATAATTTTGCAAAAGAAGCTCAGCGGGGCGTAGTAAGCATTTTTAACCGTTGCCACTAGGGACTCCTACAAATTAATCCGCTTGTTGAATAACTTCATCCTGAGCATTTGAGATGTCTAGGATATTCATATTTTGCCAACATTTTGGTACTATTTCTTTTTTCGAGCCGTCGCTGGATGTTTTCTATTTTTGCAAGAATTGTGGCAACTCTTTCGGTCCTCTTAAACTTTTTTAAGGCTCTGTTCGTTTCGTCATGGTTATGGCTTAATTTGATTAGGTCATTGCATCCCTTGTGGTATCTTGAAGCATGACCGACAGGTAAACGGAACTCACATCTTTTGGTCCATGAAAGTTTACTTGCATGGAATGCACCGGATTTAGCACAATTTCTTGCGTATGCTGAGGTGGTCTGCCTTTATGGGAACGAAATCTTCTGTTCTTTTGCTTTCATATTTAGTTTTTAAATGCTAATCCTTGGTGTTTCCTTAGTTTTACTGATTGTTGAGTGTTTCTAAATCCCTTTTTTTGTTATTGGGACGATTTTGTTCCGGTTTTTTTGTTTCATTAGGCTACTTTTGTTTCTTCCACACGTAAACTTGAGTTTCACGGCCACATAAGTGTAGGCTCTCTGACTTCTTCTACTCGTACTCCAATGCCACCAAATAATTGGTGTTTGATGAGTAGTCACCCATATTTTGGTTATTTATTAGTCATGGACCTCTTCCGACGATATCTCTCCCAGTCTGCGGAAATCGGTGAAGATGCCGGTGCGAACGTTGTAAGCAAAAACTAACAATCCTTTTTTCCACACCTTTTCATGAATAACTGCGCGTTACATTTCGAGCCTTCTGTCTCAGATCGAAACCCTCGTAGACCGTCTGCAGACAGCGACCCGTGCTGAAGATAGACGCGACTCTATGCGTGGCATCAAGGCCCTTTCCAAACGTTACCGTCTTGAAGTTGGAACCCAAGCCATGCCTGCGTGTATTGAGACTCTTTCCAGGGATAGGTTCGATCTTTATGTCTCTTCCTTTTTCTCGCTTTCTTAATTTTGAAGTAATCTTGTCTTGATCATTTATAAGATCTTCATTGATGTTTGGACTGCTTTGTTGCTTATTTCACTCATTGTCACTCCGAATCACCATAATTTGACATTGTAGACTTCCTTTTATAAATTTAAACAATTTAACGTTTGGACTGAATATTGAACTTTTACATTTGTTAGTTCCGGTGTAGAACATGTGTTCCATTGTACATTTTCGAGCTTAAATGCAGAACCCGGGTTTTGAAACGTGGCGTAAGATAATTTGAATATTTTAGTTAACGGATAAAATCGAATGGTCCTATTATGCAAGATGGATTAATTTGTTGCAAACGATCGTTGGCGTTTCGGGCGACGTTTTCGATGCATAAGTGGCCCAATTTGTCGACGGCTTGAGTTTTAAAACTTTTTTCCCTGTCAAACCGTCTTTTTCGATGCCTATGAAGTGAGGACTCGGATACCGTTTCTTACGCTCTGGACGCGCTTTGCAACATAATGAACGACGCGCGAACAGATATGGATCCGCAGGAGTTAGTCAACATTCCGCCAGATCTGGGGAAGCAATTTACCGAGATCTTTGTAAAGGATCCCGAGAACGTCCAATTGGTGCTTTCTTTCCTCTCGGTAAATTTGCCAACAATGGAGCTTATACTTTACTGCTTCATACAGTGGTGCTAACTTTATCATTGTTTTGCTGTTCAATGCTGTTCCAGTCCTACGACATGCATCTCAGGAGGCAAACTATTCAATTGTTGATTCTCATGCTGCAAAATAATCGTAAAGCGGTTCAGGATTTGCTACTCAATTCTCCTATGGCGGTTTCCAAGTTCATGGCCACACTGTGCGACCCTATGGAGGTTATTCGAAATGACGTAAGTTCGCCTTTTTCCACCAAGGGACTGTGCAATATTTGAAAATTTCATTCATTTTTTCTAAAATTTGACCGTCTGTTCCAGTCATCGAGACTTTCGATTTTCAATGTTTGTGTTCCGAAGAGGGAGTAAGTAGCTTGATCAAGATGTCTGATGTGGGGGTAGTAACATTCGTGAACATTTTCTTTCTAGCTAAGGGAAGTGATATTGTGTCTTATGCCTTTCTCTCAACTGTACAAATGGTATATAGTGAGCTTTTGATGGTCGACCTGAGAGAAGACATCCTAAAATGAATAATTGATGCTTTATCCCTCATAAGCAGGTTTAAGAAGTGCCTCTACAATTTACACATTCTAAACGTTGCCTTTGAGCATAGGCATGGACATAGTGTAAAACTGTTTCCGATAATACGCTGATATTAGGAACATGAAATTAACCAGCCTTTCTGATCCGGGTTAAGCGACGCAAAGGACAGGTTCCGGTTTTTTTAGTTCGATACGCCAAGTGAAGGTATGGGAAAAAGGGGTACACAGCCACTTTTCAAGAAACTGAGACAGGCTACTGATTAGCATCATCTTTCGATTGAAATTTTCGGGATAGGGTCTCCTGCTTCTGCTCTACTTCACGAAGAATCACGCGACCATTCAGAAGATAGTAGCGTTTGAAAACGTTTTCGAACGCATTCTTTCTATCGTGGAGACGGAAACTGTAGGCGATGGAGGCGTGGTGATTGAGGACTGTTTCCGTCTTCTTCACCAACTACTCGCGGGTAACCAGCAAAATCAAATCCTCTTCAAGGACGGTCGGTTCGTGCAGCGTTTAGCCAAACTGTTTAAACAAATTCCTCAGGAACTTGAGGAGTCCTCTACTTGGTCGGCGCAGAAGTTGGTCAACGTCAGCTTGCTACTTAAGGTTGGTGAACAATATTTGTTTCTTTGTATCCCATAAAACCATACCTTCCAGTAACAGGAGCGAGTTTTAGACCTGAATGCCTTTTTATTACTATGAAGAAACAATGGGTCATTATTGCGTTCCAGGGTGAATTGGTAGCCTTATCTTTGTGTACCGAGTCTGACCGCATCTCAACCATGCGCCTACCGTCGGCGCACATGGATGTGCCTGATGAGAGGGGTTGAGTACAGTTGTCAGGCTTCTCAATAGTAAATTTTTTCTTGTGTCTATCGTGGTGGCTTTGTTGAAGCCTAGATAAATTCATTAGCCCACCTTAGTCTTAAAATACCTTTAAGTGCTATAGCCTATGGTAGATAGATTCCATCCAGGGGAACGGTTCTTTGGTATGATTAAAGGTTAGCCATAAAATGTTAATTTTGAGAAAGCCTTGGATGAATAGTTCTTTGTGTTCGCAGGCATTTAGAGCACCGGATGCCATCGTAGTATTTGCTAGTGACTTTCTTAAAGACTTCTGTTCCTATTAAATCTGATAACATATTCTCCCAGCTTATCATCATTGCCTTTTTTTTAAACGAATATCCCGCTGAGGTTTTACCTGTACCTTAGTTTGATGGAGGAATCGATGAAGTTCTTCGTTTTTCATAGGGATGGCTTGAGTCAGGGTTGTGTTGAAAACTTGGAACCTATTCATTTTATTTAGTTTTCGAGATGGTTACCGTGGTTAGCTAAAATGCATTCATTTAGTGTAGCTAGAGATCTTTTTTAAGCATCAGATGGAATCTTGCTTTGGTCTCGCAGGCGTTTTTTTCCAGTATTTATTATCCAAGCCCTCTAGAATGTCTCCAAAATCATGTTCTTGTTCAGTTTTCTTAACTGGCCTATGTCACGCGCTGGTAGAGCTTAATTGTGCGAAAAACTACCGCAAAACAAAGGCCAATCACAACATTGTAAGTACGCGAGAATGGGACCAATCCGATCTCTCAGTAGTCAGCCCAAGTGGATATATGTCCTGCCTCCGACATTGAAACCCTTAGACTATCCTGTTTTACAACCTTAACACAATCCGAGCCTTTGCTTACGAAAACTTATATCGCAAAGCTATGGATACTCTTTTTCCAATGAGGGGTTTCTTACGGAAGAAATGAGAATCTAGAACCTTTGATTTCGAAGTTATTTCCTTCACTACAAATATCAGTCTGCCTCAGTTTGTAATATTCCCTCCCCATGTTGGTCGCAAAGGGTTTGTATTCATACTTGCCTCATTAATGCCATCTAATTTTTACTAAAATGCATCCAGATCTTCCGGACTCTGGTAAGCACCATAAACAAGAGTCAAAATGTTAAAAGCTGCCAGGAGGAGATGCGGGTTTGCGGTCTCTTGACTAGCCTCTGGGAGGTGGTTATGGCGGGTGGCGTGCCAGCGGAACTGCTAACTGAAACTCTCTATAGCCTGGGTGAGATGGTACGTGGTTGTCCGACTAATCAGGAAGCAGTGGTCCAGATGCTTGCACCCTCCGAGCCACCCCAGCCCGCTATCACTGTCCTTCTCGTCACAATGGTCAATGAGCGTCAACAACTTGCTGTACGAATGGCTGTGCTCTACTGCTTCCAGTGTCTTCTTGCAGGCAACAGCGAGATTCAGACTGCGGTGGTTTCAACTCTCCTACCGAAGCATTCTGAACGTAGGGTTTCCTTTCCTTTCACTTTGACCTTTGGATGGATTCGCTGAACTATTCGAATTTCTTTACCAATCATGACAGTATTGATACTGTTTGGTGTCTACAATAAGGAATCTTTCATTTAAAGTAACGAACTTAATGCATATAATCTTGTTTGTTCTGAGCAAACTCTTCGACACATCAAATTCATAAGCACTGGTTAACTGTCTGACGCGGGAAATGAAACCCTTTTGATTTTATGGTGCGTCATTTAGATGCTGCACGATTTACCGTTACAGTTTCCCCTTATATAAGTCTATAAAATCGGCATTGTATTATCCACTCTTGTTTGATGCTTTGTATTTACCGAACCACTTGGAGCACCAAATGAGCATGGCGTTCTTTTTCCCTGCAAAATTGTTGCCTAATATATGGTACGACTAGAAATCAGGTAAGCGGTTTTCCCAACCGTCACGGTTATTTTATTCTGGTGTAAAATCACTCGCACAATAATTCCATTGAATTATCAGATAGATATCACTTTTGTTACTGCTTTTCTGCCAGATCTGATAACGTCTGCTCGCTGGTGTTGCGAGCGAACTACCCTTCATGCCGTTTTGAAGTTTCTTTTTTAGATCATTCAAGGGAACAAAATTTTTTGTGCCCACAACTTTTGTAGATAAGTCCCCTAGCGTTTTAAAGGCCTCAGCTTCTTTATTTTATTTTATTTATTTTTATTCCGTTGTATTCTAACGCCTCGAAGTGAAGTTAACTCTTAGACGAGTTTGGCTATGAACTGATCAGAGAATTTCCCAGTAGGTCATTTGACAATAATGGTTTCGGGTACTGATTTTTAGTTTCGAAATTTAACATATCATTGAAATGCTTTTGGAATTGAAGTTGTGAGTTGGTTGTGGGTTGGCTTACAAAGGAAACACAATTGGCACTTAAGCTTATGAATGGCGCTTGGTGTGACATGAGGAAGAATTGCAAAGGTTGTACTTGCAAAATGCTTGATTCGTTCCTGAACACTCCATACGACATGAAATCCTCTAAGTAGATCTGATGTAGGGACAGATTTGAGGAAAGGGATCAGTGGAGTAGAAGCATCGGTAAACTTAATAATGTATCATAGCAAATGAGAACCCGATTCTCAGGTCTTTGCTAGTTATAAGCAGTTTCGCTTTACTCCCACAGCTTCATGTGTGATGAGCGCAGGACAATTGCTCTGCGGGGGTCTCTTCTCACAGGACGCCCTCTCAGCCTGGTTCTCGGCTATCGCCCTTTTCCACTCCATAAATCAAAATCGTGGGTTGAAGGAGAACCTCCTGCAAGTCCACATGGCGCCCTCTTCAGGCAGTGGTCCTCCAGTCACTCTCATGCAACAGTGTTTTCGACTCATCTCCCAGGTTTGTTTATCTTCGTCCTCGACCCACGAGTGAAAATTACATTGGAAGTTGTTTAAATTTGGTGAAATCTCACTTGTGCACAAAAAAGAACGTTTTTTTTCTGTTTTTATTTTGTGAAACGGTGTTGAAGCATTGTTTAGAATTTGGCGGAATCCTTTTTTCTCCTTGGGCACGGCGTAGGCTGGACGCGTTCAAGGCAAAATAGGCCTACTGCAGTTCCTTTGTGCTTGGCTTTCGCACTGTCCCCTGGCAGTGGAGGCCTTCCTCTCTCTGCGCCCTGTTAACTACCGCACTCAGTCGACTACATCAACACCAAATAAAAGTACCGGTGGTGGCGCCGGTTCAGCCCTTTCCCATCTTATTGCTGATGTGCTCTCAGGCGAAGGCGAGGAGATTAACACTGTCAGCTGTCTCTCGGCCCTTCTTATTGGCATCTGTGTATGCTACAATAATGGTGCTGTTGAGGACTACGACAGGTAAGTGGGTGTTCGCCAATTACTGTCTGCTTCTACTCATGCTTGCTTTAATTATGGTGTCCTTTCAGTGAATCTCTTATGAAGACGATCGACAAACGCATCGGCATTGATGATCTTATAAAGCATATTGGCCAGATCTATCGCTCAGACGAGTTTGTCCGCGTCATAAAACATCCCGTGCTAGAGGCCGCGAAAGCCGATGATTTGGTCTTTGATTATGACTTCACCCGGCTCTTCAAAATCGTCGAGTGTGCGTCATCATTTGGTGGTTTTTGAAATAATCATGGACTTGATGATTCGGTGGTTAACTTACAAATTGTGTACTGGAGATGGGCTATTGTTGATGATAACTTCGTGCTCTATTAAGGCGCTCTCCGTTGTTGACGGGTCTACTGGTGTGATTTTCAGTCGAGGTGTGTGCACGCCTTTCCCGATCGAGTAGTCACATAGAGGAGGGCTCAGAAGTGGCCCAGCGTAATGGTCAGGTGGGACCGTCTGTGGCGGTAGCGGAGGGAGAGGCAAATCGATGGGCTCACCAGCAAGAGATGCTACTGGCCTATCAGGGAGCTGTGGCCGAACGCGATGCTGCTCTGCAGAGCCTTCAGCTGCGTGTTATTGAGCTTGAACGTCAACTCTCCTTTGCACACCAAAACGGTCACCCTGTGGAGAAGCAGGACGAGACCTCTGCGGTTGACGGTGAGCGGTTTTTATGCTATATATATATGTTTTTTTTTTAGTTGGAACACCTGAGTCTACATCTGAGTTGCCTGCTCAATCTAACTTAAGCAGTTTGCAGTAGTTTATGTCACCTCAAGCAGTCTGATAATTTCATGCAACCATTTTTAAACATTTACGCCTTCCATTCCGTTGATGGTTCGAGTCACTTAGGATCGTTATCAATTTTAAGCTTCAAATTTTTACACCACTTGCTAATAGCATGACCGCCGATTTATTTGCTAATGGCGAGGGTTTCGCGTCTATTAATCGGTCTGCTTCTCTCCTTCCCTTCCCTTTGCCAGCCAACTCGGATCTACAAATGGCACTGGTAAGTGGGACCAATTTATTTACGGTTTCTCGTGCCTCTACTCCATCACTTAGTGATCCACAATTACATTCTAGACCCAGAAATGCCAAAACTTGGAAACCGCGGAGAAGCGAATCGCGGCGAGTTTACATTTTGAGTTTTTAAGCTTTTCACTCACTTAATTTTTGTAGTTGGTCTCTGTTGCACAAGTTTAGGAATCACCTTTGATGTGTGAGTTCCTGAATTGAATTGGTAGTAATATTTTTACCAGGAGCTGGAAGACGCTCTCAAAGTCGCCAACAATGAAAAGGCGACCATTAAGTCGGAGCACGAAGACCTTCTGCTTCTTCTGAGTGAGCAAGACTCCCAGATAAATCGTTTGACTGCAGAATTGGCCAAGCTGTCAAGCCAAGCACGGCAAGTACGTCACCAGATGCTCCAAATTTTAACTAATTTTGGTGCATAAATCCGGCCTATATTCTGTTACACATATAAGTCCACTTTATGTCGTAATTCTTCTGCTCTTAGTCTGCAAGTCATTGTGATTAAGGGAGAGGTGGTGTTACATCCGTGAGTGGCGGATATTTCAATCCTTTCCCTACCAGTCCTGCCTAAAGTGCTTCTCTGCTATAATTCTCTATTGTCGTTTTTTTAGGCGTCGATTATGAGGTGACTTTCATAAAGTTAAATTGTAACAATACACGTACTCATCTATCTCACCGCGAAATCGATCAAAACCAGCACGATTGGTGTAAGAATGCAATCTCTTGAATGAAAGCCATTGCTTTGGTTTGTTAAAGCGGTAATTTTGGAGTGAAACGATAGTGCTTACGTGTTTGTAAAGGCTCTATTTGTTTGCATGTATTTTTTTTTTTGATAGCCTGAACGACATAACTAGGCTGTTGTAGGCATTGTGGAGCCTTATTTGAGCACTTTTGAAGCTTTTTTGACTTGTGCCTTTGCCAAACGAATCACCACTCATCTCCACAATGACAGTTAAAGTCGGCGCACTGTGCCACTAACATTACAGATTGACCACTCTAGACATCTCAACAGTCGGTAACCTCTGCAGCAGCCCCACAACCAGTGCAGCAACAGTCACAGGCACAACCTGCGCGGATCATGGATTCTCCTCTTCAGCATTCTCCAGACGTTTCACGGTATCCTCCACCTGTTAACCAACAAGCGTATTCTTATGAGTATCTTCCTGACAAACAGCAAACTTCCGGGTATCAGTCTCAGACAACCTCTTCGCCACTCCCTCCCTATCTGGTTACTGCTTCTACCAACGCAGAACAAGTTCGTCTCACTTTCGGTTAAACCTAATCATCTAAACCCACGTGCCGTGTGTATAGTCTTGTCTTCTCTTACTTCTACTCTTCTGCACCTACTTTTTCCTCTATCTGCAATTTAAATTGCGTATTAATGGTACCCGTGCTATTGTTTTGCTTCATGAGCTTATGTCTTTCGACTCCTTCTGGACTGTTGTCGTCCGAGGTCGTTTTTGATAATTTCATTTGAAGTAGTCTGACGAGCAGTGTACAGACGCTGATTGTTGATCAATCCTTCGTCACAGGGGCATTCTTCCGGTTTTACAAAAGGGGTGGTAGAAGGGGATGAGAAGGAGGGCAATGTTCGACAGAAACCGTTTTTCCTTATGTTGTTTCATCCGATTTCTGATGTGCGTAGCGAGTGTTCGCAAATTTGCGTAACTGGAGTCTATTCACAAGCCAACTTTCCGGTCAGCGAAGAGATGGCAATGCCGAAGGCTTGCAGTGCTGTCAATGGATATGTGTAATCCATTGTGAAGACATCGCTGGAAACGCGCCCGAATTGCATAAGGATAGTCGATTCTTGAATTAGAAGAAAGGCTTAATTACAATGACATGAAGTAATGTGGCTTCTACTTCTCACCTTGATGCAGTGATTTCGATCTCTTAGTGAGGGGTATCCCAACGCCACTGTGTTCCTAAGACCAAGGCAGCTCTATACAAATGGGACACTCAAAAGACTTGGCACTAACTGAACCAGACTGCACGATCTCGCAGCAGTGGCCCTTAAAGTGGCCGTAGTAAACCCGTTCAGTGCATTAAAATTGGAGCAGAAGTGGGATTCTCATGTGGTGGAACTTAGAATAGCACTGAGTGGTTCCTTCAAGATCAATCTCACACTCACGTATAACGTCTCTTCAGAGCGCCTTCGTACTTCTGGCTATGACGGCACATTTATCGAAATGGAAGATGTCCCCGGTATAGATGTCGGAAAGTGTCCACTCATTATGGCACTACTAATAGGTAGAACTTTTCATGGCACAAGTTGGTCTTTACAACAAGCGAAAATTCAATCACAATGCCTAAAGTTCACATTACCAATGTGAGACTAGAACCCATTTCAAATAGGATCGTCAAAAAGTGGTTGCCGCTTTATTCCTTCGAAGGGACGACTAAACTGTACAACTTCCAGTAAACGAAGTATCTGAAGGCAAGGGAGGACCAAAGAATTTCATTTAGCTAGATGGAACTGTGTTGGAACTAGGTTGCTGTCAAGGTAATGCATGATGTATCGAGGTCACTTCAACTTTCACTAAGCCCAATACAATTGGAATGCTCACCACTGTCTCTCACATTGGAAGCATCATGAGCACTTATGGACATACAAAATGGCATTAGAGACACATCTATTTGCCTTACCGTCGCTATTTTCTATCAGTTGGAAGTTTTTGACCGACGCTTGGGTGACGCGGCCGTGGAAATTGAGCACGTAGGATTGTGTCTCTACATGGTGGAAAGATGCATCAATAGATTTCCCAAAGTGATGGATGCAAGTGAATGAGGAGACATCTGAGAATTCCTCTGTGAATGGTGTATTCGTATATTGCATCAGAATTAGCGTGAGCAGTGAGTGGGCATAATTAGAAGCTCATAAGAATCTTTTAATGGCATCAATAAATGAGGATTTTGACAATGCACTTGTTTCTATCCTTTATCCACGTCCCAAAAGAGGGCTGGGTCCAGTAGATTAAAGTGGGTGACATTACCTTCATTCCACATGGGCTTCTTGTTGTGCAGCTCCATGATACCTGAGGAGTCGTTCCTTGCTTCAGGGCCCCCAGTAGCATATCTTGACAGCTAGATTGACAAGTACGGCAATTTCTCGACTTGGCCACAAGCAGCGCATCGATACAGCAGAAAAAAAATAAACTCACTTCATTACTTGTCTTGGAGTCAATAGGCTCCACCACGGATGGCAGAAGTACTGTCATTCTTCTAGGGCCCTTGAATCCCAGAATGTTTGGTTCCTTAAATAGCGAAAAAAAGTAGTAGGCTCAATTTTAGGCAACAACATTTTGGCTATAACAGTCTTCGATGGGCGACAAGTTGTTTTTTATTGGCAATGCCAAATTCAAAAGTTAACCTGGATTCTGGCCAACAGGCAGAGATCAAAAGATGGCAAATTCACATCGCGAACTTCTATTATTCGACTACAACCACACCCTACAGAGACGTAAAGATGCTATCATGCTCACATAGCTAATAGTGGCAATTTCTTTAGACCAGTCACCACTAGCGAGATCAACATCATGATGGCCAGTGGAGGCGTATGGACCGATGTATCTGCTGCGAGTGGAGAGGAGGACGAATTGAGTACCGAGGAAGTTAGAGCGTAAATTGCCAACAGTTAGCCTGCCATCACCGGGTGCGTTGAGGGGAGAGGAGGTAGCAGTGGCGTCTAAGGAGATGAGATAGTTGCAGGTTGTGGTGCGGCGCTTTCGACGAGCTGCAAGCAGAAAGAATCGACGGCCATCTTCCTGCCTCTCCAAGTGGAGGAAGTAGCTGGGAAAGAGTCCACCCTCTATACCGTGCTTGTCTCGACTTATCCGGCAGCACACAGTCACGCCCTGCCCAGGTAAAGATGAATGATGGGGAGAAGCTTGCCCAAAACTTGTAAAAAAGGCTTTTTAATGTAGTGTATGAATTTATAAGGCGCAGCAGGGATATAATGCTGGATTCGAGATGGTAATCATAAACTAAACCGTCTGGACACTTTCTCTAGAAGGTTCATACAAATTTCAAGCAATAATTTGCTGCAAAAGGTTCCCCAGATGCCAACTTGACTTAGCCATACAATTTTAAGATAAAGTGTTCCAAGCACTGGTGGTTGTAGGGAGGTAAAGACACCCTTAAATTGACATTTTCTTGTTTTCTGACCAATTATTTTCTTGCCCTAGCTAGACTAAATAAACACATAGCTTAGCAGCTAGGCGCTTAATTTAAGTGGTAAGAGCTTGGTGAATTTGTTGGACACGGAAACTAATGCCCAAGTCTACTAAAACAACCTTATTGCTACATCGTTCTACTGCTTGGCATTGCAAAAAAGAACGACTAATGCATTCCTAATGCAATACTACTCATTTGGTTTATCAGTAGGATCACCCGGAAAACCGGTTGCTTGCCACAGATCCCATTTTCAAATTTTATTGCTGGCTTTAATGACATTCGGGTTAGCATGGCTCCATTGTTATCGATTATCCACTTAGCTAAATTACCTTTGCAGCCGGGGTTGTAATAAACGCCTCCACGTCATCGCCAGCACTGAAGATGCGAGTTAATGTCGATCTGATCGGCTCATCGTGCACCAGGTCATCCTGCAATAGGAAAGACAAGGTCACTACAAAGCAGAAGTTAAATTAAAATCGTGCAATTTCCGGTGGGGAAGAAAGGAAAGTGTAAAAATTTGAAAGCAGCAGAGGGCGCTGGCGTGCCAACCCACTTTTGATGAAACCACCTTCTCTCTTCCTTTCGAATTTGTTCGCTTGGTAGGAGATCCAGCCTCCTTCCTATACTTCCTGTTTCCTGCACTAAGGACCGGTGAGGTAGGATGTCCAATTTGATTTATTTTTTCTACCATCTTGACTTGAGGGGTCTTCAAGTCTGCTCCAAGATTGCTCTGCACGGCATCATCGCGAACATGAGCAGCTCTGCGAGGGGAGCGAGGCTTACTAGATCGACTTTTCTCTAGGGTACCTTGAGACACAGCACCGGCTACCTTGCGCTCGGTGTCGTCTGTTGATCTCACTCCGTCACGCTTATGGGCACGTTTGTCTTTCTGCGAGGAATCAATCTCTGTTTAAATTCATATGAATTACAAAATAGAGCAGTCTCTTGTGCGCATAACTTTACCATATACTACTGTCCAATTACTCTCCATGGGGGAATTATCGTAAAATTGCTCCTGACATAAGACTGGGTTGAGAAAATGCCTAAAAGTTACCTAAACAGATGGCTAGAGAAGGTCATGAGGTAGGCAAAAAGGCCCTCTCAAAAGTCCATAAGTACTAGAAACAACAGTGTAAACATTAATTATTTATTTCTAGTATCGTCCATGCCCTACCAAGTGGCGTGCGGCTTGTTGCCTAATGAACGAATCCCAAGAGAAAATTGTGTTGAGGGCTTGCAAGAATGCGGATGGTTTAGGAAGAGGCAAATCATAAAACTAACCGTGGTCAGGTGGTCGGTGGATCGCGACAATTCTTGTCGCCGCAGCAATCTTTCTGGTCTCTGCTGCTTTGCCACCTTCTTTTTCGATCTTCTCGTGACACTAACTTCACTTAGCGTACCTTTTTTCGCGGGATTCTTTCTCTTGGATCTCACAGCATTTTCGCCACTTAGATCATTACCTTTTCCCTTAGAATGGAGGTTTTTGAAGTTTGGTTTTTCGTGCTAAATGCAGTAAATTAGAAGTAGTCAATGACAAAAGACAGAGTCAGTAGGTTTGGTTTTAAACTAAAGAATGAACAATGCAACGCAAAATGTTAACAGCTTCGTGATGAAACGGTTGCTCTGAATGCCCAAAATAGGAAGACAAGTGCTGAATCTACTTAAACCGTGACATCTCTGACATCTTCCTTATGGCTACCATGTTTACTCTTTCCGATAGAGTTTGGATGGGAAACGCAGCATTTTAATTTCACCTCCTGTCTTCATTAACTGCAATTGTCCGCAGAAAATACTCGCCGCAAGTGTCACAGATGTGTTCGTTTAATAATTAACAGCACCTATTGTTGCTTAGTGGGAGAAGAAAAAGGTGAAACAAAAACTAGTCTTGTACGTGCAACTTTCGAAGGCGAGAGAGGGACTGTCAAACTAACCTTCCAGAGTCGACTTTGAATGTATAAAAGTGAGTACAATGGAGGTATAATACCGATGATGATAAGCAGGACAGCTAATGGGGTGAATAAGATGTAGTGGTGCTTTTTTGCCTCTCAAGTCACCTCCTGCTTCCATAAAATATTAGCAGGCATTTCCGAAATTTCCGTGCACAAGTTGCCGATTCAGCCTGTTAGCGTACTCGGGGCTAATTATAGTTGGTTTCCCGACAAGAGGAGTCAAAAGACTTGGCCATTTACAAATGAAAGTAGTTCCCAAATTCTTAATCTGACTGCCTCAGTAGTGTGTCAATACGTTGGCGCGCGATACACCAAGTGGTGCTGAAAGTGAATCTGATTTTATGGATCAACTACTCTGATTTTCATTTCCGACAGATGAGAGGCCCGTGCAGCGGATGCGAGAATGTGTGATGACACGTTATAGAATGAATGAAAATGACGCCTACCTTTAACAATCATCCCAGTATTGCGGCCTGGACAAATTCTAGTAATGTCTAAAGCGTCGATACTTACGAATAATCCAAAAGATTATCCGAATGAGGTCAATGGAGTGAATAGGCAATACCTCCCTCAATCCCACCAGCTAGACAGAAAACCGGTGGACAGGGGCCAGAGAACAATGAAGTGAGAACAACGCAGCAAGGAGGGATAGATACAACCTCCACTTCCACTTCCACTTTTGACCAGTATTGTTGCAAGTAGCGATAGTCGGCACAATTCTCGCCTTCCCTTGAAACAAGTCCAAAGCAGGAGTAAACTCCAGATCCATTAAAGGCTTTAAGAGAGATCAGTGCTGCAACGACCAAATGTCGTCCCCATTGCACAAAAATTGCAAGACTACAATGGTTAGCTCGTAGGTTGGTAGATATTTGTTGCTTGCAGTGTCGACTATGTCACTATAGTTTGACGGGGTTGACGCTCAAAAGGTGCGAGGGTTTATGTGATACGTTGGTTATCAACTTAATGCTTTGTTTTGGTTCCGCGAACGATTGCGCCTCTGTTAACCACAGTTGCAGGGTGGCATGCCTTTATCTCATGCCAACAGGCCCCCAGGCTTTATGTGGCTTTTGGATTAAATTTTCTTCCCCAAGGTGGCTTTAAGGTTTGGATGGAAGCATGTGGGTTTGGGTCTGGATACAACGAAACTCCGGCTTGATCAAAAACAGGAATATAAAATGAAACAGCGAACCCCAAAAACGAAGACTTGTGGTTAATCTCTGCGGATTACGAAGGGTGGGCAAAATAACACCATAGAAAACTCTTTCCTCTAATACCGTAACATAAAATTTTTGGTAATAATGCACGATCAAATTGAGTTAGAAGTTTTCATAGGAGTGATTTCGAGCAACGATGAGCAAGTCAAATCGTCTATGCAGTTGATAAAAGAGACCAAAGTATTCACATCACAATTTTGAGGGCCTTACAGGGGGATACGAATAAGGCAGCATGGACAACTGACTGGCGCTATTAAGACAGTGCATTAGGTTCCCAACACCCTGACAAGCTTCAGGACTACTTCAAAAAATTGCAAGGAAACCTCCCAACAACCGGGAGATGTGTAATGAAGTCGCCCCAAGACCGTGAAGGCTAATGTATGCAAGTTATACTATTGGAGATCGCTGTAAGAACTTGAACGATAGTTTACTTTCCGCGTTTGTGCTTCTACTGGATGAAATGGCCTCTGAGATAGGTTAGCATTCCACTCTGAGCATTTCTATACATCGAGAATTTATGCTCTCTACTGAATTCGGTAATTACCAGAGTTCCATTTCAATAGCCGGCTGAACTACGAGAGACCACCTCAAACTTTGCGATATTATTCAACAAAGCTGGCGCAAATGCTCTGCACAGTGACAATAAATTGGATTCAAACGGACAAATTCTGCGACCACAGATAGCGTTCCTCACTACCTATCCAAATGTCTACCTGGCACACCATTCAAAGCACTTTGGATGGATTCTAACATGCAGCAAAAAATGAACAAATATTTGTATTTAGTAAATCTGACGAAGAAAGCTAAAAAAGGCGTGAGTTAATAAATATCAAAACTGAGCTCATATTGTTTGTGCCAACTCCACATCTGTTAGAATGAAGGTCGCGAAATCCTAAAGATGAGCCTTGAGAGTTGAATCCTTTCGAGCCTTCATATTGGCCACACAGATGCAAATGTTCTCAGTTTACACTCAGGCTGTCGCCTCATTCGTAAGTCAGGAAAGGAACCACGCAGGTTTTGGACAAAAAACAGGAGATACTACAAGCACAACTTCGGGGAAAAAGCTAAGTTTTCCAGGAAAGAAACCCTCCTGATATCACTAGAAGGAGAATGCACTCGCCACATAAGATGGATCTCAGTCACAAATTCTACCGCAATAATCTTAATGTCATTGGAATTCCGTGACTTAAAACTTTTGAGGCTGCAGAACTCACCCACTGATATGACACTGCACTGGCCGTTGAAGGTGTAACCGAGCGAACTGCTGTAGCAGACACAACAGATGTCTCCATGGCAACGCTATCAGCCTTATCAAAGTCAATAAGGTTGTTCGTCTTGACCTGTGGTCTCTGAGATGCCTCCATAGCGCTGTGCGGTCGGAGAGGCGTCCTGCTCTGCCTATGAGTGGCTGATCGCACCTTTCGCCTTCCCACTTTCGATCTCAACTTGACTGCTGCGGTTGACACATCCTCCTCCACCTCTTCTAGTTCCATAGACTCAAAAAGCGACCTTCGATCCGTTCCCGTGAGGGGTGTTTTGGGCAGTGGTAACTTCACCGGTCGAATAGGTGGAATGTGAATTGCCTGGTAGGTCTTTGAGGTGCCTGTGTTTTCTCTCGAGGAAGACTTTGAAGTGGCTGTCAATCATAGCAGTGTCAGTTAGCTTTCCAGCCTTAATGCTAATGCTGCTGGCACTTCCATAATTAATTCAATTTTAGCGTCTCAATGTAGAGGGATTATAAGATAAAAGAAATATCAGCGACGAAGTTCGAGACCTCCCTGAATCAACCCAACAACCAGATTTTTTTGGTCATGTTGCAAGTTAGCTTTGCGTTACCAAGACAACGAGGTGGTATTCATATGGCAACCGAGATTTGGCGACGACGCTGTGCGTGTATAATGAATCTATTATAGGAGGGAAAAAATGCACCCAAAAACAAGGCTTCGTATATTTCCAAATTTACATATGAAGTAACCGGACATAGAAAGCAGAAACAGTGAGAGGTCTTGTAGTATTGCAAGAGTTCAAATACCGTTCGTGCTTAAAGTTTCCAGTTTGAAAGGGTGGATCACCGCAGTGTCATCGCGCTGATAATGCGTGCTTGTCATTGCCTGAGTGATCTCATCAAAGGCGTTTAGGATGTTTGATCCTACCAAGCTCAAATATTTGTTGAATGTTGCTTAAGAATTTCTTGTTTTGCCTCTTAAACGTGCATTAGAACTATGACAAGAGCCGCTTTGATTTGAAGCACTGAAAAAACTAAGAATGGTACCATCACATCAACAAAGAGGTGCTCGAGTAACAATAAATCTCTCTAATGATCTCCACATTGGAAGCAGTGGTAAACAATGAAAAGTGAGGGCAAGTGTAGATGAATGAAAAAAGTTAGTGAGTTTGATGCATGGCGCACAGTGATGGCTAATTATACCCAAGGGGGTGGAGCACCCTCCTCCTTTCTGTTTGTTACGTTGTCAAGGCACTTTAGAGTCGTGAAGGCAATTGTACTGCAAGCAGTAATAGCGAGTTGTTAAGCAGTGTCTCTTCACAAAGTGAGATAAGCATTGAAAAGAGCACATCATTTCTGTGCATAATTATTTTAATGAATAGATACTCTCATCTATTATGCAAGAGAGCTCGTCAATTAATTATCCCTAAAAATAAGTAACAAGAAACAGTGAATTAATTCGCAGGATTTGAGGGCAGATGTAGAATGTGGACCCATCCATCAACATTAATGGGAGATTTGTCGTCTTAACCTGCGTGATTTAAAAGATGACTTATTCCCACTTCGATCAAGCTGTCAAATGGATTCTTAATGACTCAAAATGAACAACTCTAATAAATATGGACAGGGAGAATGAGGGCGGTACCAAAAAATTGATCCGCTTATAATCTAAAGTTCTTAAAAAGTGTCCGGATTATTGACAACCTTAGCGCTAAGACTAGTGAAAAGTGAAAAATGCTATTGCCTTTTAAACCAGAGAAGGTGTTAAAACCCTCGTTTGCGAATGCAATATGGATGAAAGTGAAAATTTTTCATTTGACTTGGGGTTCTAAATCCATGGACCAAAATGAACTCAATCGGAGTCCTAGCCATAGCTACGATTGCCTGATTTTGGAAAAGTGAGGCGACATTACCAATACTTTCCTTTAAGAAAGTAGGATGAGGGCTATTGACCTCTAACCTACCCCTAAGCCATCGTAAAGTGATCTATGAAACGTCCACCTACCGACGGATGAGAGGAAAAGAAGATAAAACAACTGTATTGAAGTCTTAATTAGTGCCTTCATATGCCTTTCTTTTGAATGAATACACCATAAATTATAACCTGGCAGGAGGAAGTACCCCTTGCGTTGAAGCAAAACAACACTACTGTGAGTGAAGAGGCAAGCAAGCGTAGATGGTCTAATTTACAACTGTCCAACAAGATCTTAGTTTTGAAGCATTAAGTTCCCAAACACATGTTTTTAGACGGGTTGTGTGAAACTCTAACCTTTGAAGCGTTCCAAAGTGGTTGTGGGAAAAGCTGTACCCAGTACCCTCCCTGGTTTCCTTTGTTTTACAAAATGAGAGCATTTTTAGTCGAAATTGTGAACAAAATTACATTTGTCCGACGGTGACATTGCATCGGGATGGTGAAAACTAGTTGATGGCAGTAGCTGACTTAGTTGTTCCACGAAAGTAAACTTTAACTCAATGTCATCACTACACTTCCACCAAATATAACAATCTACTGCTTCAACAGAGGCAAAAACGAGTCACTCAGGGTTAACACAGAGCACAAAGGGCTCAGTGGCCGCTTGGAGAGTTGATGCGACACCTCTCAATTGTTCATGTAGTAAAAAAGTGAAGTAATATGAAGTATGCACAAGAAAATGTTTTCCACTACTGGAGAGTTGTGATGCCTTGAGAGTCTCAGCCTAGGCTGGCGTCTACGAGCACGTACTTTGCTACAGATGAGGAACGAGTAATTATCACCATAAAATATTATGTATTCTCCTACCAATAGCAGGAGTGGCAGCGTCGTCCCTATCACCGCTGACTCGCAGAACCTGAATGGGAGGATCAAGGAGGTCCGGGTTGCCCAATTCAAAGGCCTGTGGACCATCATATGCTGAAATAACAATGACATTTTCTAAATGACCATAAAGATGATAGAGACGCATTATGCACCAAGGCAGATAGAGCTGAGAAGATTTAATTCTCCATTTGCCCCGTAGGGTTGAAACTTTACTCCTGAGATATTTTGGAGAAGTTTGATCTGATGGGAAACCATGATTTCGCTATTTGACCAAAACAGGGAACCAGCTTTAATGACCTTGGTTAGGTTAGAGCTTTCCCAGAACTTTCGCTTTGGGCATTGTTGCATCAAATCCAAGTATAGGTACGGTATATAGGAAGAGAGAAGTCGCGTAACTTATGCTACGATTCTTCGTTCAATTCGGTCTGAACTATTTACTGAAAATAGCAAAAGTATTTCCTTAAGAGAGTACAAAAAAGAGAACAAAACACAATGAGCTCTTAACCGAAGACCTTTTTAGAAGGTTACATATTGTGCATCACGTAATTGCCAAAATGCAAGACAAACAAAACGTCAGCTATGCAGAGCCGGACTGCTGATTGCTATCAGAACTAAAACCTCAACAGTGATGGCACTATACCACTCAGCCAGTAGACTTGGTAGACTAATCCAAAGAGGGCTAACAATCATTTTTTAAAAGAAATGATCAACATAGCTCCCAAAGGACTTCTTCTCTGAAACCGACGCATCTGAGGAAACGTCAGTTCACTCTGGTTGCCAAATGGCTTTTAATCAAGCATATTGCTTGCTTATTTATTCCTCTTCTCCATTTCCGTCCTAGAGCCACGAAACCTCTGGCATTTATTGCCTTAGATCGTCTTTGACTGATATGACATCTCTTAAGTAGTACATCCGCCATCCCTGGTAAGAGAAATAGTAGCACAAAAAAATTTACTTCGATATACATCGTGCTTTACAATTAGCTAGTCACTTTAAATGATAAACCTACCCAAAACGTTACAGTTTCCTTCGTAATAAAAATTTATAGTTCTAACAATGGGGTGTCGGAGAACCAAGTTATGGTCCAAAATAATCCGAGCGTAATCAAACATTCGAACATCGCAACAAAACCTCGATAGACTACAATATTCTGAACAATAAACTGTCTTCGAGTAAAATGAACAGATTTTCAAAAAACTCACCAAAATTTTCAGAAACTGAAGTTTGCGAACCGCGACTGGGAGTCTTTACACTAGATCGGGGGATTATTGGACCAAGATCCACCAATGCATTGAAAGACCTGGTTTGCAAAGACTGTACCTCATGGGCATGCTTATGCTGACGCTTCTTCTGTTTTTCCAGCTTTAGTCGCCTTTGAGCAGCCCCTTTAGCAGATGTAGCATCCATATTTTCTAAAATGAAATTTTTCGAACTTGGTCTTTCATAGTTCATACATTTCTGTGCCACTGGAAACTACAATCCAAAACTTATGTGAAGGTTCCACGATGCTCATAGATGATTAGAATAAATGCAACCTCTCTATATGTCGACCGAGGAGAAGATCCTAAGCGTGTTAGCACTAAACAATCTGTGTAATAGCCAAGAGTTTAAATGGGCCATTATGACTGAGGTAAACAGTGTTATTCGTACTACATGGCTGTAATTCTGGTTCAGTTAAAATTCACTGATGTTTTTTTAAGTAAAACGACAAGCGTTGGATATGTAAGATGTAGCTATGTATAGAGAGGGCATCAGTTCTAATGAGAGTTCAGGAAAAAAATATGCAAAATGCTTAAAGTTAATAGTAATTTTAGAACTACACAGATACTGTGATAACTACTAAGTTAATGAGAACTATGCTGTATGCAAAGTAATACGCCAATAAATGCGTATTTGACGTGGGTTTAAATCACTGGGCATCTACAACATAAAACAGTACCTTCGGATGTTTAAGAACTAAAACATTAAAACTTAATTTGAGTTCTGCAGTTATCATAGCATCTGAGGTGATTTTAACAAAGAATGTGTTCAATAGCCATATAAACTACAAAGGTGTCGACGCGAAGCAAAGGAAATAACGGAATATTGCCGGAGATGAGCCCTACAGTTATTGATCGAAAAAAACTTTCAGTTCATCTCAATAAAATTAGTAGGTTTCCAAAACACCCCTAGTGTCTCCAACTTATAGCACTTTAGACATTGCTCGTAAGCACACTACCATCCTTTTGATTGTGCGATTTTATTTTTCGTTGGAAGTAAATTACTCCATCATCAGTTAAAACGAAACGTAACTAAATCATTTACAGAGTTTAACATGAACCCTATACTTAAATAGTAAAATAATACTTGCTAAAAAAATTTCATCAAAATATGCGCTGTTATAAAAACACTTTTAAAAAAATTATTTTTTAAATTAAATCGTAGGGTTTGTTTATGATTCATATAGGGCCAACGAGGCAATAAAGCTCTAAATTTAGTGATGTATAACATTTTCGACTTTATATTATGTGTTGAAAGGCATTATGGCTAAAAAACTGTATGTGAAAATAGGTGGAAGAGATAGGGCTTTGACCTGGCCTTGCAGGCTGGCCCACCCACACATGGGTATGATGAGTACCATAATAGCTGGGTATAAGATAGAATTAAATCTAGGTGAAGACATATACTTCATGAAGTGGGAAGTATTAGGCCTTAGTTTGGCCCAAATGTTGGCCTAAACGTACAAGGACGCGAAGAACACCAAAACAGCCGCCATATATTGGGTGGTCACATGGGGAATGTAATACATCCTCCTCTTCTTATAGGCGGTGCACTTCCACGCCAGTCATTACACCATGTTCGGCGCTGCCAGCAAACGCCAACGGTATAGTAGCGGTTGCCATCAGCTATCGTACGGCTTAAAAATGCATTTAGCCACTCAGCTTCTTTCGAAGATTCTTAAGCTACATTGGGCCTCATAACAGAAACTGGAAGAGAGTGCTTCCTGCCGACTAGCATGTGTCCACAGTCCGACATCAAGATGCTAATCATCAACAGTCGTAGCAGGGAAACGGGCCCCACACACCCCTTGCGAGGGGAGTTTGTCATGCTGGCACCACCGATACCTAAACGCAGAAGCCTCATTCACCCCTACCCTCCTACCGTAGAGAAGTTTGAGATTCACCTGCCATGAGTATATGCACCTTATCTGCATTACAAAAATTTGCCACAGACGGCGAACACCAGGCAAGGTTTGCGACACAGTACGACCCACTTCCCACTACCACCACTGCGACCTGCCACGACTCCCATTTGATAGTATAATGTATTAGGAGTGAGCAAATAATCGTATTTAGAGAAAATAGAAGGCGTGAGACTTTGGCTTGACCCAAAAGTCCAGCACACAGCCTAGAGCAAGATAAATTGCAAGCCGATCAGCAGTCACACAGGTGGTTGACTAAGCAGGCTCCTACTACAAAGTTGGAGACTATTAAGAACTAAAACCGATTTAACCATGTGTCGCTAAAGACCTTTCCCTTACCCCTTCCTCCCTTCCAGTACACTTACAAGCAAGATCTGATGCCTCCACCAAAAACATGAAGCGTACAGAGACAGCAGCCACCTCATCCAACTAACGTCCATCAAACCTTATGTACCTAAAAAATACCTGCATTGTTTACAGATTTCTAAAATGCTTTTGTTGGCGAATGCGTTGTTGCCTTTTTGCGGCCGCCTTCGCTTTCAGACGTTCCCCGGAGAGCCCACCAACGGCTACTGGAGCTACGACTTCGCCGTGGTGACCGAAAGCCACATTGTTCGAACCCCTTGATGGTGTCGTACCCTGTCCTCCACTAACCGAATGTTGTTGCTCTCCGTGACTCACTACCAGAGCGCGCAATACTTCACAGGCCGCTGCCGGTTTCAGTCCGACACGCGATTGCTGCAGTGCCCAGGGATCAATCACATCAAGAATAGGAAAGACCAGCACTTGATTCAGCATTTGTCGCACCTGTGGGCGTAGAGCTGTGCATACCCGATGATCGTTGGCTGAGGAAGTATCCTTCCATTTCTTTTGCTTTCCACAAGCCTGAGAAACTGTTGTGGACGCAATACGCACCGCTATGGTGTCAAGGATACCCTTAACAGCGCGCGATAGTTCCGGTCGCGAGTTTGGTTCGTCTGCTCTCAAACTAACCCAAGTTCTGCTTACTGAGGCTATGCATGGGGACAAAGCGTGCTCCAGATTTGCAAGCTCTTCTTCGTCTGAAGCTGTGAATAGAGAAGCCAAAGGGTTAAATTTAACCTCCAAAGCTATATGACGACTACTTCATCGAACAAGAAAAAAAAACGTCCGATTTGAATACGCATCTGATTTCAGAAGCTTAGTTAATCGCCTAAAAGCTAATTTTCATTGTTTTGAAACAAATTTGCTTTGATGAAACTTATGACTTTCCACCCCGAGTTCCTACATGTGTAATTCAAAGCCGCTACTCAATAATGGATAATTTAGAATTATCAACAAGTTAAGCCTATAGGGCGTAAATACGATCGAAAAGACTAGTTTTAAAGTCAGAACAATTACTAAGTGAAATGCTATACCTTCGCGACAATATAACTACGGTTGATGATAATGCTACCTGAGAAGAAACGATCGATGATGGCAGTGACACAATCGGAGAGCATCTGCAAAAACCAGTGTGGAGACGCAAGAACATTTGATCTAAACACACGGAGGTAGACAGTAAGAAATTGTGTCACGAGTCCGATGACTTTAACGAAATCTTCCAATTTCATAGCCTGGAGCGAAAAAAGAAAAAAATGAAGACAACGTTTGATAAATCCTCTGACAATGAGTTTTGTGAACACTGTAAATGTGTGGAAAAATAATAAGGCCCTAACTTAGATAGTAAAGTAATTGGAAGTTGAATTGCAGAAATACCTGAAATCTGACGTTAATGAACCCACACAGATATAGGTAAGACTGTGGCACAACTTCCAAAATGAGGCGCCTCTCCAAAGCGTAAATCCATACACGAAGAAACCCACAAAGGAAACTGCAATATATCGATTTGCAATCTGCAGAGGATTCAGAGCCCTCATCAATTTCACCTACTGCCTGAAGAAGAATGGTGGGAGCTCCGAGAATAAGCTCTTTACAAATCTGTTTCATGTCATCGCTGGGTGGTGGATCGTCAAGTATTCGTCTTTCAACTATTTGTAAATACTTCTGCACCTTTACTAGGTCCAATGACCTTAGAAAGTTATGAAGTTCTGCAATAGGAGGTAGAGTATCGATATTCTCAGAAGCTTTAAAATGGATAGCCGGCTTGAGAGAAGAACAGATAGAATCAAAACGATTTTCCAACATATTGTAACAAACGTTTTCATCTTGTCGTCGGACGTACTTTTCAGTGCTATCAGAAAAAGCGCTCACCAACAATAGGTCATTTAATAAGTAACCTTCAACGGGGATGAGGGGAGGGCGATTATTTACTTGGCAGTCAAAAGCGATTTTGAGTAGCTTGGGAACGGATGGTGAGGAAACTATTTCGGCATCCAAAGGAACGCGTTCTTGAAGGGATGCCTCCTCTAGGTCAAGGCAATCTTGGTGGGAGCCCCAAACAAGACACTGACGATAAGCATAAACAAGCATCACAATGGTCCAGGCACGAAGTGAAAGCAAGTTAGTCCGATGTGCTAAAAAATCCTGCGTAATTTTGCTTACAACAGAGTTTAAAGTAGGCAGGGTGTTAACTATATCAGCCACCTCCAAATCACTCCGATCAGAATTCCTAAGTGTATTGGTTTCTATTATTACAAGGAGTATTGCTAGAACAGCCAAAGCTTCGGAGCTCTGCACGCATTGCTCAAGCGCTGCAAATATTTTCGACTTCATGGATCGCCTTAGCGAGATAGGTGTGTGCGCAAAAATCTGCTTCAAGCACTTGATTTGTTGAAGAGGTCCAATAACTGATCCTTTTAATTCAATTTGGTCATTTAACTTAGACCGTAAGTTAAGAATAGTTGAGGTAGCGAGTTTCCGGTCACCATAGGGAACAAGCAGTAAAAATCCCGTCAAAGGATCCGAATCAGAGCACATGACAAGACACAGACACACAAGTTATTGTGCCGTTGATTGGGCCAACCATTGAGTTAAAAAGGCGACATCCACTTCGACTCATGCGAAAAAATAAATGTATTATTGCACTTAAGCCATAATGGTGCAACTGATAAAGAAATAGCGCAAAGTTTTAATAGTTAAAAACTTTAACAAGGGTCAAAACGTTTCTGCGATATTTCAGATTTGTAGATGCATCTTCTTTCAAAATGCTAATTGGCTACTACTGTGTATAAAATCTTGAGACGAGTGGAAATTTATATGTCTGCCTTTCTGTTTACCGGCATTATGTTTTTGGATTGGGAAGTTAGATTTTGCTCAGTGAATTATCAGCAGCCGTTTCCATTTTGTGAGGGTTACGTCTTATGAGACGTGCTGAAGGGGTAATAAGCAGTTTGACTCGAAGAATATGTTACAGAAGGGATGCAGAACCTGTAGTTTATTAAGCCTATTTGGCCAAGAGCTCAATTGGCGACCTTCCTAAAGCCATTAGCGCGACAAGTTCTTCACATATCGCAAATGACTGCAGCTTTTGACTTTATTATTCCCTAAACTGCAAGGGCTGCCTGTCTACCCTATGGTCCCTGATCCTCAGACTTCAAGAGACAGTTTGTTGCAGACGATTTATTAGGCATTGCTATTAGGAAGGATGGGGAATGAGATGCATATGAGGTGAGTGGGAGATATCAATCGGAGAGAGACTCCTCATCGGCTTCACGCACGTGATTCGCGCCCCCAATTGGTTCCCGCATCTCGCTTATAAAAGCGCACTTAAACAAACTAGTATACATTACATCGACATCCTGCTTTTGCATTAGCTAAGTTGGCGGGGCTAGTACAATCGGTTACGTGACCAATGTGGTCAGAACTTAAGTTTTGGTGGTATACATTGTAGCGTCCCGAAGCTTCCCATAGTGTGGAAGAAGGCATAAGTGGAGTTGAATACATGTATTCCGAAGACGACAGAGCAAATGGAGCCTGAGTGTGGTTCAAAGACCAGCCCACATGCACAAGAGTCAGACTAATTCTAAAGTGACCGCCAAATGTCAGGTGGTCACATAAACAAAGTATTACATACGAAGTGCCGAAAGTACCCATTTTTGGTCAAGCACTTATATTGTTTTGTGTTCTTTAACTGAGCTATGGCAACTTATTAATTTTCATTCCCGAATACGCAGTCCAGGATATACTATGGCTAGGTTTTATTTCTCTATCTTATGGGTATTTAATAGGTTTAATAAACAATCAAGCTATAATGTCGTCTTTGACGAAAAAAGAAACTCATGTGCTTGCATGAAATAAATAGTGGTATTGCTTACCTCAGTAGTGGCGTTTTCCAATATTCCTTTTAGCATCCTTAGGGTAGTGTTAAATTCTGATTCCATTTTTTAATGGAAACGTCTCAGAGATGGTGGGCAAGTCCGCGTTGAGTAGTCAGACGTGCAAAAGTGTCTTTAATTTAACAAAACGGATCTGTCGAATGCATAAATAAAGTTTGAGGTTTTATATGAAGGGAGACTGCTTACAACCATGTAAAATCAGAGGTTGTTTGATTTTGAGTTGTAAAACACCAAGAGGTATCTTAGTTTTTGGAAACACCTGTCCTGGAGATGCTTTTCTTGGATGAGTATACTTGGCATGATATGGAAATTACACTAGCGAAAGGAGTGAACTGAAGTACAGTTCCAGCGATTGGGAAAAGGACGTCTCCTCCGTAGGTGATTCAGTAACGACGTTCGAACTAAATGTCCGCCTCCCATCTGTAAGGACAATTTAAACACATAATGTGCATTGCAGGTAGCTGCATAAACGGCACTTGGAACTAAAACCAGAGCTGAACACGGATGTTAACGCATGTCGCGAGAGCTTGATGTTCGCACAGCGATGATGGTACTAACGTCTTTCACTTCTGTCATTTGGTTGATCCTCATCATTTGAGTTTTAGAGTACGTTTACATAAACTAAAGTATTTTTTTGAAAATTTGCGATATTGTGTGCTTTTAAGTATGTTTCTCCAAGGGAAGAAAGTTAGGCAGTTGATGCAGTATACTTTGAGGGGATTACGGTTTTACTGGCTGAACAAACCACCAAGAATGATAGATTGGGTAAACAATGGCAGGAAAGCTTAGATTTGACTATTTGACACAATGTTGGACTTAGTTTTCGTAAGTTACTTTGAAAAATTGCAATTAAATGTTTTTGGCCTGTTCCAATCTCTCTACTAGATGCAGTAAATGCAAAACTGCAAGACTGAGCTTTGTTTTTGTTTTGATTTACCCAAAGAAGCAATTAGGACATCGAAGAGCTAAACGGTAAAAGGTATTTGGTCAAGTGAATGAGCTCTAAACAGGAAGTTAACGTTTGGTCAACGTGAAAGCCAGACCAGCTTGTTTGGTAGTTTACTTGTTCATTTCAACGTGCATAGTTGGCTTTCTAAGTGGGAATTTGTGCTCAATTGCATCGAGTTAAGTGACCTTCAGGAGCGACTTAGAACGCTGCAGTCTTTTCTTCAAAGCTCATTTCACAAAAGCAGAGCCCAAATCCAAACCAATGCTCCGTAAAAATTAAGGTCTTATGGCATTTGAAGTTACCACAGAGAGCAAAGATGTGCTTCACTTTAACCTTTCAACTGGTGACACCTACTCCTGAACTAGCAACTTTGACTTCTGCCAATGAGTCCAGACCTTTTTTTGGTTATAAGACTGTTGGAGTGCGTGAGTGAGATAGTGAGTGAGAGTGTGAGAGAGAGAGAGAGAGAGAGAGTAAGTTGAAGAGGAAAGTAATTTGGCCCTACTCCAAGTGGTATGACTTACGACCGACAGGAATGAAGGCACTGTGTGTGTACCAACCAAAATCACACACACACACACACACCGCTTCGTCCCCATTTTAACCCTCTGCAATTTAACACAATTACGATAAGAGTAGGAAAAAAAGCACCTCTTGTGAGCTAAGAACACAAAAATGCCATTTTTAAGCAGTTACTTAAATTACTTTGCTAAAAACGTGTTCTGCATTAGCATGCCATGATTATGGATGCGATCCAAGCCTAAGGGAAGCCCTGGGGGCGAGTAAAGTTCTGCGGATCAACTCCAATGCAAAAAACGGACATTCGAAGGAGGGTTAGTAAAATAACTGCCATCTAGGTTCCCACAAGGTGGCTCCAAAGCAGCAGTTTCCTTAGCCACTTTAGCAGATACAAGAATGGTGAGTTTGAGATCACTTTGAAAGTTGTAAAGTACTATTGCATAACCACACACTTTCACTTGCAGTTGCTGCCTTCGGCTGAGAGAAGTCGGTAAATTCGTCTCGAATGTATCTCTATGTTAAGAGACGTCTTTAGGCAAGTTGACGCATCCAGGGAAGAAAGATTGGTACTTCCTTCTTCCAACAGCTGATTCCTAGTTTCGCCTTAACCTCCCAAAAGTTATAATGCCAGCCTCATTGTCAACTCAAAAGTATTGCTAAAATTTGCTCTTCCAATGCAATTTTGGGGTGTAAAGTATGCATTTATGCCACCTCCGACGGCATGAAATTCCAAAAGGGACGTAATTTACATTTAAATTAGGCTCGGTAATTGAACAAGAGCATTTACAGCCCAGTGCACCGATTAGGATGACTGCCAGAGGGTCAGAGTTGTGCCCTTCCCTTGGATTTTATCTGTTCAGTGGAGGGGAGACAAACATTCCAGGGGAAAAACATGCTGAACAACAGCAGTGTCCAATTTGCTTGCCACTTCAGCGACGAACACAAGGCAACTTTTCCTTACTTGGAGGTATTTGTCTCACCCTCTTTAAAAACTTTTTCGAAAAATAAACTATCTCCAAGATACTAAATTAGAAGTAAATATTTGTGCCGATCACCAGCCCGCCTACGGCCTAAGAAGACTTCACGCATTTACCAACCGCAATTTATAGTGGTGGGTTGAACTGTTTCCCCACTCCTGGACTCAAAGGCGACACCCTTCTTTCCTCCAGTCTTCATGCAACCACGATGTGGCTGATAAAAAAGAAATTTATTCAACACTTTTTCTCCATTGTGAACTAGTTTTTTCCCGACGTCAGCATTCGTGACTGAAATTGTTGTGGGCTTCTGTAAACACCGAGATCTGCCAAACGAACGACACGCCAAAGGTTAAATAAACAGGTGGTTTAAAAACGGGATGAGTGAACGCCATTCAAAAAAATGTCATTTGAGGCAGCCTTAATCTGCGTGAAGGAAATTAGACGGAGTGAATGAATGCCAATCCTTGAAGTCTAGTTTAGGTTTCCACAAAGGATTATTAACCACGCCACCCCATTAGGTAAGTATGTGTCGGAGATGATTTTTGAAGCAACTTACCTGCAGAAGAAGAGGCACTTATTTGAGGCAGAGGCATTCCCTATCGAGGCGAAAGAGGTGCCACTACGAGTCACCACAAGGCCTAATTCAACTAAAGGATTGTAAGCTGGCAAAAAAAACAAGTTTTCTCGGGGCAAAACTGAGCTGCAGATTTTTAGCGTTTCTGATGCTGCAAATTCATTTACAGCACGATTTGCTTTATCCATTTATCACGCCTTACTATGCATTAACTGATTAGTATACTCTCGGCTTTGGTAAAGGAGGGTAATTAGGAGTTCCCTCATTGTAGCCTCGTCTGATATGTTGTCTTCCAATATCTGGCGGTATTCCTTAGCCTTACATCATGCCTTATGTATGGATTATTATTTTTAATTTTTTCAAAGTAATCGCCGGACGCAACGCCTGTAGCACTAATCGTTTTTGGGAAAAATATTTTCATACATAAGAGCAGTTGCTGGCCACTTCATCAATACCAACGTCGATTCGTGGGTGTCAGAAGGGGTTGAGTAGCCGGTATATCACAGCCACACAGATGGATATACATACGAGCGCAGACACACACGCAGGCACGCACACATGCACGCACGCACGTGCGCGCACCGGTGGTGTGCCTCCCCTCCGGCTGATTTGCGCACGTGCATCTACGTGCGTGCGTGCTGACTAACCGACATCACCAATCCACCTCAGTTGAGGTGACAGCCAATGGGGAATCGCTCATGCCACCAGCGTCATCATCGTAGGTGTACGCGTGCATGAACGTTAGGTCACCACAGCCGGGCTGCTGGCCTGACAGCGCAGAAGCCTCGACGATCGGCATTACTATTATTCCATTCACATGCAATCACGAAGTGTGACTATGCTGTCGCGTAGGTTCTAAGCCACTGATTTGCAATCACACTGACACGCCCTTATTGCTCTTCACAGGCCCCTTTTACCAATGAAGATATTATGTGATGCAAAAAACTCCATCGGAACGTTCCTCAGAAGGCTCAACCGAACAGCCATCAATCACATCGCCGTGGAGTCCGGAGGAGAGACTGACTGTTGTTGCTAAACTGCACGACCTGGAGCTGGTAAATAAACGTCTAACCGAGGAGAAATCCCACTTGCAAAGGCAACTGCAACACGTCTTGCGACGACTCGCCTCCGATCGTTTCATTCGACATGGGAGAGACTTAGAGGATGTATCCAATTTGCTCTGTGAACTCATTCAATCCGCAGAGGTAGAACGACCGAGCAGTAGCAGCATTCAAGCACCTCTAGCCTCCACTGAATCCACAAGTTGGATGGAGTCCAACGGGCCATTGTCGCTAACGCAATATTCTAGTCTCTCCGACACCTTCGAAAAAATTGTTCTTGAACAGGACCCTGTCGCAAAAATGAGTCTGGACCTTTCCTCCTCAGAAGAGGTGGAGGGTGGCCGACCCCCCGAAGAAGTAGTACAATCTGGCAAAAAAATTGATGCTACAGCCACGACATCGACAACTGCAGTCGAGCTCTACCATTCGCCTTTAAGTTCTGAGGCCTCAGGGGAGCAGGTGGATTGGGGGCTTCACATTCCTCCGTCTTCGCCAGCGCTTTCGTATTCAACCGAATCCTTGGGCTCTATTGATGGCGCGTCGATATCTCATGTTCGCGTACCACTGAGTTCAAAGACTCATACAACTCCTCAAACGCCCATTTTGTCTCGCCGACTCCAACACACATCCTCTCTTCCCTCATCACCACATAAATATCTCCTTCGGCAGGAAACGCTCCGTGGGACTGAGGAGACCAGACATTCAGTGTCAAAGTGGTTGGAGCTTTCTGTTTCGGAGGTAATACAAAAAGCCAAACAGGAGGCATTCAAGGCACCACCCAGTCCAAGGAAAGCGGAGAGCATCGTTGAACACGCACAAAGGTCATCTTATGTTCCCCATCCCCTGAGACAAGCACTCAAACGAAGTTCTCACAAACCAAGAGTCAAAGTTGGCCCATCAGAGGACTTTTTAAATGAATTTTTTTCGTCCTCTGCAGCCACAAGTAAAACCCTTCACGAAGAAGGTCTTCACGCAGCCATAATTTTTAGCCGATTTACAGAAGTGGCCAGAGAATTAGGAAGTTTGTTCACTCATCTGCATGCCTACACGTGTGCACGAAAGCATTGCTTTGCCATTCAAAGCATCCCTGCTCAAGAATTGCAGATAAGCATCAACTACTTCCTTAAAACTCGGAGAACAAATTTTGATCGCCTATGTGGAGAAGAAACGTCGTCTGAGGAGGCCCGTTCTACAGCTGGAATACCTCTTACTACACCCACCATTGAAATCACTCCCTTACCTCAAAAATCGCCGTCACTTCCTCCTCATCCTTTCACTAGCCACTTCCGAAGCTCCTCCGCCTCCACGGAATACAATCTCCCTCCGACAGAGGACAGCAACAACAATATGGAGACAGAACACTTGGAAGCACAGAAGAAAAGCACGTATCAAGCAGGCCCTCTTTCAAAGTTGAGTTCACGTTTCAAGTTGTGGCAGAGGTTTTGGTGTGTGCTGGCGGATAAGTCTCTTCTTTTTTATGCTGACGAAACCGAGGTGGAAAAGTGGCCAAAGAAGTGCATTGATTTGTCCGATGTACAGCGAGTTGAGAGACGTCACGATCATCGGCCCGAAGGGAGAGGCAAATCGACCAGCTCTTCTGCCATCAATTTAGTTTTACAAAGTGGAAAGATTTGCACCGTTCGATCTCCTAGGATTACCGAAACGCGTGTTTGGGAGAATAAAATTCGTCGAGCTTTGCGTCGTGTTCAAGCGGAAAAGATCTCGCACATGTATGGTGCACAGTTGGTCACCAGCGGTTGGCTGCGAAGATACAGAAGAGGACAGAGCCACCGTGTGTGGGGAATGCTGATGGGGACGTTTCTAATCTACTCTCGAGACTCCAGAGGGCAATACTTGATCGGTTTCCGAGATCTCACAACTACCTATATTCGATGCCCTGCAGATCCTGAAGAAAGAGCTATCGATGTTGATACTGAACTCACTTCTTCGCAATTGGCATACGATGATTACGATGCACCGGACTCCGAGTCAGACACAGGGATTGATATCAATGGTGTCAGCAATTTGACAATTTCTCTGTGGGCTCCAAATCGAGATCCAGTGTATTTGGTGTGTTCAAATGAAGATGAGTATGAACGATGGAAGTATCACCTCTTCCGAGCGTGTTGGTTCTCATCGCTACCCACCGATCCAACAGTGAGCAGCACTGAACCTGAATCGCGTTTCCTCCACCTGTGGAAACAGCTAGTTAGGCCACGTTGTGTCCTTCATCGAAGCCATTCCGAGGTTCCATTAAAGGAGCCCCTTTCACGAATTCTTGACACTTTGATGGAAAATGATGCCCTTCGACTATCCGAAAAACTCCTCTCACTTTCCACTCTGCATGCCCGACGTCAGGAACGCATGGTTGAAGAGGCTGATCATAGACCCAGTGCCATGTATCGCTTTCCAGTTGATGCTGACAAGTACAATTTAATCAAAGAGATTGCTCAAATGTGTTTTGAGAGTAGCGGACTCAAAGATGAACTCTTTCTGCAGCTGATCAAGCAGGCCACCCCATCTACTTACGCTCTTCGCACAGAGGTACGTCAGTTTGGTACAGAACCAACCCGAAGACGGGCAACCAGAGTTGTGGACCTTCTGTGTCATCGCGACGGAGCTGAAGGGAGACGGGCCATCAGTACGCAACGCCAACAATCTGAATCACAGCGCTATTCCTCGCCACCGGGTTACTCGCACAAGTGGATCCCCATCATTGTAATGTGGGAATGTTTGGCAATTTACTCAACTGTATTTCTCCCCTCACCGCCGGTGCTTGCCTGCCTTCAGGCTTACTTATCCCAGTTCACCCTAAGGGCTGAGACAAGTCAGGAGGAGCACACGACCTCGCCCCATGGCCGACGCAGAAGGACTACTGAGGCCCGAAAACTCTATAGTGAAGTTAGTCGCTTTGCTGCCTTCTGCACAGATATGCTGATGAGATGCCGCATTCGTGGGGGACGTCGAATTGCACCTTCGTGCTTTGAAGTAGTAGCCATTTCTTTACGCAATCCATACACTCACAGCCTCCCTTTCAGTCTCCCCATTCACATTCATCTGCCCAGTGGCTACGAGGTTGTCAGTTTTGACGGAACGATGAAGGTGTCCCAACTAATGGGAAGTCTTCTTAACAAGCTTGGACTCTCTGAAGCAGTCACACAGAATCTCTGCCACTGCGGGCTATACTGTCGAATCTCAGGTCCGCAGTACGTATTTGGCAGAACTCCTGCGAGACCCAGGCTGATATATTTGGAAGCTGACTGGAATGTGTGCGATGTGATCTCACTCTATGAATCCACATTGACTCGAACAGATCAGGGATCCGACTTCAGTCTTGAGGATATGACAATCGACATTGTCTTCCTTGTCACTGCAGTTTCCAAAAAGACCATTGTTCAAACATCCTCCCTGACCGAACGAATAATGGATATTGTTGCACACCAAATTCACTCAGATCTATTATCAGGTGAACTGAATATCATTCTTCGTGGTGTGCACTTCCTTGAACTGACAGCTCTCATGTGTCGCTGTGACTATGTGGATTATGCCGAACTACAAAGACGGCAGGAAGTCAGTCTCACACAAATAGTTGATCAGTACTTTCCACAACACTGTCTCACTGTGTGGGGCCGTGAGGATGATCAAGCCTTGATTGAACTTAAACTACTTCTCCTAGAAAGATGGAATAAGGTGTGCTGCGAGACTTCGCACCCTGAAAGCCCCACAGATTCCACTGACGTCCGACTTCCTCGACCCTCCTATGCCTATACTATGTACTTCTGGCGTCTGAATCCAGCTGGAGCCTGTGTGCGCCACTTTCCCTGTAACTTGATTAATATTCCAGAAGTGCCTCCTGACGAGACTATATGGTTGGCATCCAGTTTTGATAAGATAAGCCTTCTCAGAATTCACGCATTTGATAGCATAGTGCCACACCCCGTTCATCCCGTTGGCATTGAAAGGGCTGTATCAGGAATGACCTGCTTTAAGCACATACCTTTAAGTCGGGTCGTATCCTTCGGTGTTCAACAGACTGGAGCTTTCTTTTTGGTCTTCTCCAAAGTCTCCAAGACACGCCATTTACGCCGAAAGCAAGGACATCATAAAAGTCATTCGAGTCGGGGTGAGAGTGCCGCCTCCACCACACCGACAGTAATGGCATCTGCAACCAGAGAACGAAGAAGAGCATCTGTCCGTGAGCCCTATGCAAAAATGTCCTTTCCTGAGCCAGAGACACAACTGGAGAAGTTACTCTTCTTCGTGCGAGACCTCTGTGAGATAAATGAACTTTGTCAGGTGCTAACGTTTTATCTGGAGAATGTTTAGTGATCCCCAAACTCCATCTGTCAATCGGTTTCACTTTGCAGTCTGTGATGCTTTTCCTCCTTCCCACCCACTGTTAACGCACACCAAGACACCTGTTTCCCAATCCTTTTCGCTAATTTACAACTTAGGAGGATATTTGTACCGAAATAGCATGTTTTGCAACACTGCTGTAATCTCTAGCATCTTCATTTTGGTGGTTGATTTGTAAATTTGATAATAATTAGCATTTTTGTTCCTTAGACACTTATCTTGTGGTTAGGTCTACCTAGCGATTTAATCAACTCCATCTCATTCCCATTTACGTCTTCATTGGTACCTGTATACTCATTTCTCCCTAGTACTATTAAATAACCAATATGAAAAGTTGTGGAGGATAGTAAAGTACTGCTTGATTGCTTTTTTACTGGATGGGTACGGCGTGAGGTAAGGTGGCTGGTGATTGCCTTGAATGTAAGGGAATGAAGAGAAAGGCTAGTTACTCGATTACAAAGTCCCAGGGTGTTAGCATGACTGCGTATGCCTCTGGGAGCCTCCTTATTGGCCAACGAGGGAGGGCCATGAATCAGTCTCACCTTTGATTGGTTGGTTTTGGGAGAGCGTAATGCCTCACACCGGGCATGGTCGAACGGCGAATTCTTTCGTTATAACAAGGGTCGTGCCTGCCAAAACCTATTGCATTTCAAACTCCTCTCTAATTGGATGCAATCCTACCCAAAGTATTTTCTAGTGCTGTTGGAGTCACAGCCCAAAAAATAGGGTCAACAGTTCTTTACCAATTAAGTCAACTTCAAATGATTTTGGCGGAAGGAAATGATGATCCCTTCTTATGTTCCTACTTTTAATGATCGACGAAAATAAGCTGTAAACATAAAATCGACCTTCTCACCTGCTTTCACAATTGTCGTGCTGAGGGCTATCGCTTTGTATGTTAATGAAGGTTGATTGTTGACCTTAATGCCAACACTCTTTCACTACGTTTCAACCTCAATAAAGGTGAAAATGCAATCCACTTCTGGTTGATGCTGTAATTTTGTGGTGTTGTTTCTTTCAAAGTAATTTATGCATAGGAACTCAAGAGTTTGTGGAGAAGGCACTACGGCTTTTATAAATCGCTCAATTAAAGTGAAACTTGTTAAGAATCAATGCTGTTGCCTTTAACATAGCACAATGTGAGCAGTCACGGCGCATAACATGGCGATTAAACAATAACACCCGACCTCTTACGCCTTAACAACCGTATTTTACATTCGGTTGTTCTAATAAAGTGTCCTAGCAATAATAGTTGAATGCAGAGGGGACGTCGCAGGGTCGCAAAACAGACAATCAGCGCCTCAGTGCAGCAGCACGCCTGAAGGCATCTTGGAGCTAAATTGGATGCGAAACACCTATGGTAGGAAGTTAAAAGGTCGAGCATGAGCAGAGGGTAGATGTTGCTGCCTTAAAATGGAAGATGATATCAGTGCGAAACCGTTAATTTCCTAGATTTCTGTGGCTCATAGGAAGGCGAGTTCCAGTAACATTTGACCCATCCACAAGCAACGCAAACATCTATTAACTCGACGATGTAAACAGTAAGTTATGTATAGGATGCTGCTGTCGGTAGTCTATAAGCATACAAAAATGCAGGACGTTTGGCAATAATTGTGTCGCCTTTCCTGTCTGTTCATGATTCCTTATCTATGGCACGACGCAAATAAAACGGAATTCCAAACAAATTAAACATGGTGTTTAACAAATTGGCAGAATGAGGAAGCAATTCATAACAGTGGTTGACACAGCTTGAGTAATTAGTAGTTAGTAATTACTGGGTAGAATGAACTGAAGTCGGCATTTAAAGTTTCGCCAACCCCGTACACATGCGCACACAATTAACTAAATTAAGTGCCTGTGCATAACAAAACATCTTCCTCCCAGAGAAGAATCTCACTTCACCAGCCTTACGCAGTTTGTGTCTTTCTCTATTGACTGGTAAAAAGAAGAGAATAGAGGAATCCAAGCCTCTGATTGGTCGGTTATTTGGGGACGGAAGAAGAAAGCTGTCAACCATGCGCCCTCCAGCAGTGTGGTGACTGAACGGCACACCAATGCGCAAAGTGCTACTACATCATCGCATCCTGACGCACCTCTCTGTAAAGGAGCGACCACGTTAAAAAGTAGATGTATTTGAAGCAACAACTACCATCTCGCAAAATAACTATAGCCATGTCGAATTTGTAGGAAGAGTGTACGAGTAAGTTTTTGAGATGCTACGAGATGTGCTTGGGCATTGAGGAAGGCTGGAAAGCCACTGCTTCTCTCCACTAACTGGGAAAATGACTTACCTTTGACCTGTATGTCACTTTTATTCCGCAATGCAAACTTCCGCTACTCCACTAATCAGCGATTAAGGCACTTTTTCTCGTCCAAAAAACAAGCATTTGTCAGCCTACTGATCCCATCTGGAAGTCTTGGCCACCCTTGTCCAATGAAACTAACCTCATAATTATGTCGTTAATAAAGTGGGAGGCTTCGGTTTCGCCTCCCCTTGCATTTCTGCTAGACGGTGTGGTCTTCGTGGACGCTACAACTTCCCCTTCCAAGCACAGCCTGCGTGACGGCGGGCAGTCAAGCCGATCAGAAAGGACAACCTCCTTAATTCTCATCATTCATCATTAGGGCTTTGTCAGAGGGAATGAAAGCATATTGTGCGGATAGAATCGTTTGTTTTTTAACACTCCAACATAAGGGTCAAAAATATGACATCCACACTTGGTAATCACTCCTAGTTCCGTGTTTTTTTTTGAGGAAGGCAACTAACAAATAACAATCAACAGTGGCCACGAGTCAACCGACGAAGTTATTTACGGGGCTGTCAAAAATACCTTTTAAAAATGTTAAACCAGTGAAGATGCAATGCCTCATCTGCCGTTTTAACAATCTGGCAGAATCCAGACGAATATGTAGCTGCTCAACACTGGAGTGACAGCAAAGTACCAAGGAGGAAAGACCATCACACCCTATTTCATCAACCACTTGCCTTTGGGTAAGTTTCCTCATGATTCTAAGCGATTAACTTCACAGTCCCTCCACCTTTCCCACCTACCACTCCATTGAAGTAAGCAAAGTAAAAATCCAGTCGAATTTGGAAGTAAAACATGTGAAACATGGCTATGAGACGTTGATAACTGACACAGCTGGTTTGTGTGTTTTCCTTTGCAGCGTCAACTAAATCCTGTCGATTGAAGCGGGAGGTTGGTCAGCAGTAGTGCTGGGAGAGTATTTAAAAGGACGGAAAGGTTGCATAATACCTTCCATACATAGTTAACTCATCTTTTCGGTTCGGAGGGCGGCTAACTCTTCCCTATTGAACGTAAGCAGTGCTGAACGGTCTTAGAGACACGCCAAGCACACTGCATCTTCTGAACATCTGCAGCACGTATATTCTACTCCAGTGCTGTGATTCCCAAATTTTCCGAGTGGCACACCTACGCTCAGCGTAGTCGTGAATGTGTAGCTAATAAATCCCATCCACAAGAGATTGCAGAGATAATGTAATGTCCACACACTTATACTGCCGCAGTGCTTTGCCATTTTCTTCAACCGAAAATACCAACCACCAAGTTCTAAGTCCTCCGTTGGTTTGAAAAAAGGTATTGAAAAGCTGAATGATGGATGAGGCGAGGTCGACACGACGTTGACTTTCCTTCCTCTCTATAGTGGAAATTAAGCTAAACTGATTACAAAAGTAACTTACCATGTGCTTTGTGCTCCATCAGGTCTTCAATTCAGGATGAAATCAATGACTGTCAAACGCGTCCTTAAGTTGATGTGAAGGTGGGAAGTCAGATGTAAAGCATTATGCAGTAATATGGTGGCAAAAGACACGGTTAAGGTGCCCTTAAAAAGCCGGAATTGGCGTAATACTTCGACTGCTTGTTTAAGTCTTCTTTCTGTTTACGCGTAGACACAAAAGGCTTGGACACTGTACTTTGAACAGCGCCATGACAGTCTGGCTGTGTCTGTTGCCTCGTCCCTCCCTCTCTCCCTCCCGTCCCCTTTCTTCTACCTATCCCCAACCCCTCCCCTCTCCCTCCCTCTCCCCCAAACGTCAGCGCCACACCTTGCCCCAGAATTTGTACTTCATTCGTCTTCAAAGCAGTCGCAAGGCGCTCTCAATGAGGCTACGTCGTGAAAACAGAAACATTCACATTCCATTTGAAGTATCGAGATTTGGCGCTGCACCACAAATGGCAAGGCAAAGTGACCAATTATAAGCAAATATGCAAACAAGGTGAGGCGATAACTTCCTAGCTAATAAACTGAGATGGAGATTAGGTCGCCGTGAAACACTAACCAACAGGACCACGGCTAGAAGGAGCCCAAACTGCTTGCCCCCAAGGTCGGTCGTAGTCAGAGTGCACGTTGAAGCAATGTGACCGTGCCTGCTCTATTGTTATTGTCCAAGTTTCTCTTTCCTTCGTCCTCAGGAGACCCTTTGCTTCCGGGTGAATGGGGTCGCCTAAGGTGGCCCAGAGGTAGCGTTCGTCCATTCCTCCAATACGGTGTTCTATTTGACTTTCTGCATCTCATCTGCTGAAGGCATTTTTAAAAAAACCAACGTTTATAACAATGGCAACTCAAATGAAGGCCTACATTTTGCTTTGAGAGCATTTCATAATGGTTTAAAAAGTACCTACGGACCACGTCGTGGACCGTTCGTCTTCCGTAAATTGCATCACCCCCCTAATTTGCTGGAGTCACAAAGTTCTGCCAGAGAATTTCACAATTTTCTCATCCCACGACTTTGTGTGTCAGCTTTTAGTATGCAAAGTAGATTTGCATTGCTCTCATGATTGTGATATGAATGCGTTCAAATTGCTTGAAAGTCGAAGCTGCTCAATGCGCACATCAACCGGAGGTCCGGATTCACTACTCCTAAAAACCAAGGCATTTCTGCACTAAAGCTGGCGCCTTTAAATCCTGATGAATTAACAAAAAATAAGTTTGATACAAGAGTTTAA